GGTACACTTTTTTTTTTTATAATCACATGTTTTTAATATGCTTTCATTGCTTTTAAGTTTAAAATATTTTCTAGTTTTTCTTGTGATCTTTTAAAGCTCTTAGGGTATTAAAGAAATTTTCTAGATATTGTAATAACTTTTTTTCCCCTGTACTTGGATTTAAAACTCAGGTTCTTACATTCTTTAGATAGCATTCTTTAGATAGATGTTCCACCACTTATGCCACATCCCAGTTCTACATATATTAATAGCTTTATTACTGATTTCTAGATTGTGACCCTAAAAGGGCCAATGAACATACTCTGTGCAAATTTCAATGTTTTAAGCATTTGTAAAGACTTTTTTAGCAGCTCAGTTTATGATCTATTTTAATGAATATTTCATGTGTAGTTGAAGATACTGTATTTAGTGTTCTATAACTATCAATTAGGTTTTGTTAGTTTGTTGGTGTAATTCATTCTTTATGTATCCTTGGAATTTTTTTTAATGCCATTTGTACTAATGATGTATGTTAGCTATACAAAAGTGGTGTTAAATTTTCAGCTACTATTATAGGTTTATCTGTTTTCCCTTAGCTCTTTCAGTTGTGCTTTATGTATTTTGAAGTGCTATTATTTGATGCATACGCATTTGTAGTTTTTATATTCTTTTCATTTCTTAGTCTTTTTGTGTGTGTGTGCTGGTCCTGAGGCTTGAACTCAGGGTACCAGGAGTTCTCCCTGAACTTTTTTGCTCAAGGAAAGTACTCTGCCACCTGAACTAGAGCTCCACTTCTGGCTTTTTGGATAGTTAATTGGAGATAAGAGTCTCTTGGACTTTGCTGCCAAGGCTGGCTTGGAACCATGATCCTCAGCACTCAGCCTCCCACAGCCAGAATTAACCCACTGGCTGATAATTTTTTTCAGTCGTGGGGCTTGAACTCTGGGCCTAGGAGCTGTCCTTGAGCTCTTCAGCTCAAGGCTAGAGCTCTACCACTTGAGCCATAATACCATTTCCGGTTTTCTGGTGGTTAATTGAAGATAAGAGTCTCACCGACTTTCCTGCGGGGGCTGTCTTTGAGCAGAGATCTGGGGATCTCTGCTCAGGTGTGAGCCACTGGCACCCAGCTCGCTGGCTGATTTTTATATTCTTTTTATCTTATCTTGCCTTTCCCTTCCCCTCCCTTCCCTCCCCTCCCTTCCCCTCTTCTTCTCTTCTCTCCCCTCTTCTCCTCTTCTCTCCCTTCTCTTCTCTTCTTTACTTTTTTTTTTTGTTGGTCCTGGGGCTTGAACTTAGGGGCTGGGTGTTGTCCCTGAGCCTCTTTATGCTCAAGGATAGCGGCATACAGCTTGAGCTGCAGTGCTACTTTTGGCTTTTTCTGAGTAGTTTATTGGAGATAAGTCTCATGGACTTTTCTGCCCCAGCTGGCTTTGAACTGTGATCTTCAGATTCTCAGCCTCCTGAATAGCTAGGATTACAGGTGTGAACCACTGGTGCCCAGCTCTGGAAAATGTTTCACATGGCTACATCCATGGCAAAACATAATTTTCTTCTGTCTTTCAAGGAGGCAGGAGAGCAGTTAACTGGTCACCTCAGCATTAAGGGGCACATGATCCATTCTGTGAGTAGTTGAGAAGAATCAGGAATGATTGGTTTGGCACGAGGCCTGGGGCTTAGTGGTAGAACACTTGTCTAATATGCATGAGATCTTAGGTTTGATACTAGCCTTGACCAGGAAAAAAAACAACAAAACAAAACAGAAGTCTCACCATTGTAATTTGGTCACTTCTAGTGAGGAACATTTAAAAAAATTCTAAAGATATATTAAAGCTGAAAGCCTTAAAAACCAACTCCTTCCTTCCTTCCTTCCCTCCTTCCCTCCCTTCCTTCCCTCCTTTCTTTGGGTGTGGGTGGGGTGCCAACCTTTGCCTTTCTGATCCAGCTGGTACATGGTATAGAGCAGGTGAGGTTTCTCATGGTGGATGCCTTTTCTCACTCTAGTTGTCTCAGAAAGACAGGCCCATACCTGTTTTCTTCCTCTGGAGGGCAGTATGCATTAGGCTGAAAACTTACCTTCCAAAAATGAGAGAGATGGCTGCTTATAGTTGTGGAATTTTTTGGCATGTTTTATAAATGGTTGCTGCCAACAGTATAATAATAATAATAATAATAGCAAAATGGTTAAACCATGCTGTTGTTACTATTATTGCTCTGGGCCATCTATTTGCTAGGCAAGCACTCTCTCTTGAGCCGTATCTGTAGTGCTTTTGCCTGGGGGCTGCCTCAGAATGCAGTTCTCCTATCTCTGCCTCCCACTTAGCAGTTTGTTTTTTGAAATATGGTTTTGATAACTTTTTTCACACTCTCTTGAACCACATCTGTAGTGCTTTTGCCTGGGGGCTGCCTCAGAATGCAGTTCTCCTATCTCTGCCTCCCCCTAAGCAGTTTGTTTTTTGAAATATGGTTTTGATAACTTTTTTCATCTTTACTGGCCTTGAACCATGATTCTTTTTTTTTTTTTTTGTCGGTTGTGGGGCTTGAACTCTGGGCCTGGGCGCTGTCCTTCACTTCTTCAGCTCAAGACTAGCATTCTACCACTTGAGCTACAGTGCCACTTCTGGTTTTCTGGTGGTTTATTGGAGATAAGAGTTTCACAGACTTTCCTGCCCGGGCTGGCTTTGAACCGCAATGCTCAGATCTCAGCCTCCTGAGTAGCTAGGATTTACAGGCGTGAGCCACCAGCGCCCGGCTGAACCATGATTCTTGCATCTGCTTCCTAGTAGCTGATTATCTCTCTGGGTGAGACACAGGCAGAGTTGGGGTGAGAAGGAAGAGCAGCAGCATCTTGTGGGAAGATGCAGAGGGACATTGCAGGGGTTTGGTCCAGCAGCTTTTGTGTATAGAGATGTTCCTCTTTTGTGCATTTTAGTTTATCTTCCAAGTCAATTGTCTTTTTCAATTTAGCTACTGTTCTCTTAACAAATGCAGTGTAGGTCTGCCTCCTTGAGTTTATCAGTAAGAATCTTTATTTCTTTCTCATGTTTGTCTTCATTTTTTGGGGGGGGGGTGTCCGGTCGTGGGGCCTGAACTCTGGGCCTGGGCACTGTCCCTCAGCTCTTCAGCTCAAGCCTAGCGCTTTACCACTTGAACCACAGTGCCACTTCCGGCTTTTTTCTTTTTGCTTATGTGGTGCTGAGGAATGGAACCCAGGCCTCAGTCATGCAAGACAAGCGCTCTACTGTCCCGACGACCCGCAGGACATCAACGAGGGCAGTGAACCTAAGCTAGAAGGAATGAAGGGACAAGAGACACAAAGAATGACAGCAAGACAAGGGTTCTGATCAAGGTGCAAATGTTTATTTTTCACACAGGGGTATTTATAGGCTTGGAATAAGGAAGCTTTTTCATTGGCCATTAAGGAAGCTTTTTCATTGGCCATAGCAGTGCAGGATGTTTGCTTAGGGCAGGGGGAAAGGGTGGTTGTTAGCAGTTGCAGGATGTTTACTTAGGGCAGAATGAGGGTAGGATTCTGTAAACTCAGCCTCAAGATGTTGTGAGATAGTCAAGCCTATTATGTTGAGAGACTCAACTTTTGGCTCCCTAACACTCTACCACTGAGCCAACTTCCCAGCCCTGAGAGAACTTTTCTTCAGCAGCACTCACACTTCAAGTTCTGGTTCATCGTCTGATCTTATCTGTCCCTTAGCATTGGGACTATGTCAATTTAGCTTAATCCTTGGTGGGTTCCAAGTATCCTTCTGTAACCACTAACTTGTAAGCTACTTCTTCATACTTCTTATGTGCCTCTTCTACAATAGGCTTAACTTCTTTAAGCTGGAATTCCTTGAATTCGTCTTTTCTTCCTCTTGTAGGACTGTTTTCCTCAACCTTCATACTTGTCACTTATCAGCAGCTTTTCCACATCCCTCACCCTTTACAGGACAGTGGCCAGGCTCTCTTGAGCATTGTCCAGCTCATCTTCAACCAACTGGATCCTATGGTTCAAAGAGGCCACTTGGCCACTTCAGCCTCAGACTGGTCTCAGTCTTGCTGGAGGTACTTGGCCCTCTCTCCTCTATATAATCTGCTGCTGCAGAACCTGGATCTTGTGCTTCACCACCTTGATAATTCTGGTGATCCTGATAGCTGGGATGACAGGTACATACCACCACACCTGTGTTTTATTGGTGAAAACGAGGTCTTGTGCACTTTTTGCTTGGGCTGGCCTGGAACTGGGAAGTTAGGATTATAGGTGTGAGCTATAGTGCTTAGCACTATAGTGCTTAGCCCCATCTAGTTTTTATATTCTTCCTTTCTGTTTTGAAGGGTTTAATGTTTCATTTTTTAGGCTACTTATTAGTTGTATCTCTAGTTTTTTAGCAGCTGCTATATGGATTATAATATGAATGTTTGATTACTATCTTCCAATAATGGTATCATATTTCATGTTTTATAGGAAACCATGGTACAGTTACATTTGTCCCTGCCTGTTGAACTCTTCTATCATATATTTTATTTGTAACATATGCTATAATGGAGAGTTAAATCTGTGCTAACCACTTCTTTGATGTGATAGTATATGAGTCAATACTGTGGTAGGAGAAATAATATGAAATTATATGTTAAATAACTAAACATTATATACAACTCATAAATTACACAATACGTTTAAGATGCTGTGATAATATTTGATGTTATAGAATTAGATGAAGTTAAATAAGGAAATTTGTTAGTATAAGCTATGCATTTTCAGCCTGCAAATTTGTTTGTACTCTAGTAAATTAAAATAAATGTTAATTTTGCTCATTTTGATTATTACTATAATCATTCCCATTTTGTTTTCTTCAGTGCTAGAGAATCAGACCCAGGGCTTGGTATATCCCAGTCAAACACTCTGTCACTGAGCTCTGCCTCCAGCTTCTGTGGCTCTATTTTTATGGGATTGTTAGAGTATTTGTATTTATTTGTAAAATTAATGTGATAAGAACTTCTTTTAGAGTTTTCTTTTTAACTTCTCACAGGTATTATTCTGCCCTAAAAACTATGGAGCAATTAGAGAATGTGTACTTCCCTCGGGTTAGTCAGTATCGCTTCTGCCAGCTGATGATAGATAACCTCCCTAAACTCCGTGAAGATATTAAAGAAATCTCCATGTCTGACCTTAAAGATTTTTTGGAAAGCATTCGAAAACATTCTGACAAAATAGGTGAAACAGCAATGAAGCAGGTAAGAAGAAACAGCTTTAATTTTATATTATTTAGTAATCTAAAATATAAAATGTCCAAGGTTTACTCTGTTAGGTTACATTTTTTTTTCTTGTGCTTACTTAAATTCAAAGCCACATGTTTTCACTTGACTTTCTTTCTTGGAGCTGTTGCTGTACCACCTGAGCCAAAAACATGATTGGCATTCAGCCCCAAAACATGATTTCTAGTGCCTCATTTTTTTTCCTCTCAAGTATTATACACTAGAGTGGCTCTTCTTTTCTTCTTTTGTTGTGCCAGAGTTTGAAGTCAGGGCCTCAGGTGGCTAGAGCTCTACCATTTGAGTTAGGCCTCCAATCCAGCTTTTTGACTATTTTAGACATGGAATCTCTCACCCTTTTCTGCCCAGGCTAGTTTGAAACAAAATCTTCTAGATCTCAGCTTTCTGAGTAGTTAGGATTATAGATGTGAGTGACTGATGCCCAGATTTATTTTATTTTTCTAGTTAAAGTAGTTTGTAAGAGACCATTGTTAAAGGAAATTAAAATTCAGTATTTTAACTGAAGCTATTTTAAACCTTTTAAAAGATTATGAATCAAATAATCTCCAGTATATTTCTAATTGTATTAACATTTCAGAGTCATATACTGTATAGTAATTTTTACTTTGTTATTGAGGTGAAAGTTTTATGTAACGAAGTTAACATTTATTTATTTATTTATTTTGGTGATACTAGGGTTGGAACTCAGGGCTTTGCACTTGCTAGGTCTGTGCTCTGCCATGTAAGCTACACTTTTAGACGTTTGCTCTGGTTATTTGATAGGGTCTCAATTTTGCTTTAGTGGCATGGACTTGCATTCGTGATCCTCCTATGTTTCCTGGTGTAGCTGGCATGACAAGCATGGTTCATCATGCTTAGGTTTTTTTCTGTTGAGATAGGGTCTTACGAAGTTTTTTTTGACTGGGCTTGCCTGTAATCATGATCTTCCTGATCTCAGCCTCCTGCATAGGTGGACAGCAGTCATGTGTCATCATCTCCAGCAATTGGTAGTAATGGTGGTTCATGAACGTTTTTTCCCAGGCTGACCTCAAACCCTAATATTTCTGATCTTCTGTTTTCTGAGTGGCTAGAGTTTCAGACGTGAGTCCCCAGGTTATTTTGGTTTTTCTTTTGAAGCTCAGCCTCAAACTCATGATCATCCTATTACAGCTCATAGGTATTGGGGTTACAGGTGACTTACCACCATGCATGGTTGCAAAATTAACTAATGTGAACAATTAGTTGCAGTTAGTATAAATATTATATAACCATTGTTTTTGTCTAGTTGCAAATAATTTTCGTCATTTTAAAGGAAACCCTCTAGCCATTAAGCAGTTGCTCCCCTTCCCTCCTGCCTCACTTACAGATATAACTTATCTGTTATATCTATGGTATGCTTATTCTGGATATTATGTATAAGTGGAACTATATGTGAACCTTTTGTGTGTGGCTACTCTTTGTTGTTTTGCTGTGTTTAATAGTTTGTTCACTTTGAAGATGTACTGATTTTGAAAATTCTTAACCAAGATAAATTTGCTTTAATAAAATTAGCAACCTATGCAATAAGATACGAGTTGTTATATATACTAATACTTTTTGAAATTGCTTTTTTTCAGTTGTAGTTAACTTGAAAGACTCAGTTTTCAAATTACATTTTCATTCATTCATCTATTTTGGTCAGTGCTAGAGCTTGAAATCAGGATCTTCCACTTGATTGATAAAAACAAAAAAATTTACTTCAAATGAACAAAAGCTATTTACCATCTCTGTTTTCTATGGAATCCAGACCTCATATCATTTTTCTTTATACTGTGATGATGAGAATATGGTTAAACTGTGGGTAACAGAGTAGAAATAGAAATAGTCAAATTGTAGGTCAGTGAGTTAGAATTTCAGTATCACATTAGTAGCCTAGAAAAAGTATACTCTGTCAGGCACTGTTGTCTCAGGCCTGTAATTCTAGCTACTCAAGAGTCTGAGATCTGAGGATCGCGATTCAAAGCCAGTCCAGGCAGAAAAGTCTGTGAGACTCTTATCTCCAATAAACCACCAGAAAATCAGAAGTGGCGCTGTGGCTCCAGTGGTAGAGTGCCTGCCTTGAGCTAAAGAGCTGAGGGACCGCACCCAGGCCCCAGAGTTCAGGACCCACGACTGACAAAAAAAAAAAAGAAAAGAAAAGAAAAGAAAAAGTATAAGAGAATAAGATTCAAGACCATAATTAAAAAAGAAAAGATTGGGCTGGGAAGGTGGCTCAGTGGTAGAACGTTTGCCTTGCATGCATGAGGCCCTGGGTTCGATTCCTTAGCACCACATAAGCAAAAAAGAAAAAAACCTGGAAGTGGCGCTGTGGCTCAAGTGGTAGAGCGCTAGCCTTGAGCTGAAGAGCTGAGGGACAGCGCCCAGGCCCAGAGTTCAGGCCCCACGACTGGATCCAAATATGAAAAAAGCTAAAAGTTGATTCTTGTCCTTTTTAAGTAAAATTGATAATCTGTGTAAGACTGAAAAGCAAGAGAAAAAGCACAAATCATGAATTAAAAAGGAGTCAGTTGCTACAGATTCTATACCTACATTAAAAATAAGAAAATATTAGCTGGGTACTGGTGGCATATACCTGTAATCCTAGCTTCTCAGGAGGCTGAGATCTGAGGATTGTGGTTTGAAACTAGCATATGAAGCAAAGTCCATCAGGTTCTTATCTGCAATTCATACTAAGGAAAGTTGTACTGTGGCTCAAGTGGTGGAGTGCTAGCCTTGAGCCAAAAAAGCTCAGGAACAGTGCCCAGGCCCTGAGTTCAAGCCCCAGGACTAGCACATACACACAAAAACCCCACATCAGTATGAGTGCATTTTTTTATACACATCTGTGTACTGGTACATACCTGTAATCCTAGCACATAGGAACCTAAGGTTGGAGGATCTTGAGTTTGAGGCTAACCTTACTACACGGTGGGTGTCAGGCTATTTTGGGATACATAGCAAGAATCCTGTCTTATGAAACAAAACAAAAAGGAAAGTAGATTAATATTAACTAGAACAAATTTTGAAATAATATGAAGTTTGTTATCTCTAAAATAGGCACAACAGCAGAAAACCTTCAGTGTTACTCTGCAGAAACAAATTAATGTGAAATTTGGAAAGAATATGTATATAAATCATGATAGAATTCCTGAAGAAACAAATGAAATTATATTGAAACATGTGCTTGAAGAAGAGGATGAGAATGAAGAAGAGGTAATGAGATTTCTTCCTTTCTTTTGCAGTTACTGGATCAATTTTTCTTTGGGATTGTCATTACATTTGTGTGATTCTTAGTCTCCCATTTGCAGATTGAGTTTATGTCAATCATATTGAAATGGACGATGAAATTATCCTAGACTATATAATTGACAAATAGGATATATATAGATATATATACATATATCTATATATAGATTATACTTGTAACCATAGGTAGTTGAGCCTAATTGTTCTAACAAATTTAGAAATAAATTGATCTTATATTATTTTTTTAGTAACAGTCATTCATAGTTGATTCCCTGTGACTAATTTTTTATTTTACAATGTCTTGGCTGTGCCATTTTGGCCTATATCTGGGTAGCCTCTGCCTTTGTTTATCAATTGCTGAGATATTATAAAATAATTCTATTTTGTTTTATTTTAGAAGATCCTAAAAATATATAGGGGCTGGGAAGGTGGCTCAGTGGTAGAGTGCTTGCCTTGCATGCATGAGGCCCTAGGTTCTATTCCTCAGCACCACATAGACAAAAAGAAAAAAGCCGGAAGTGGCGCTGTGGCTCAAGTGGTAGAGCACTAGCCTTGAGCTGAAGAGCTGAGGGACAGCGCCCTGGCCCAGAGTTCAGGCACCACGACCGGACCCAAAAAAAAAAAAAAAAGAAAAGAAAAGAAAATCTTAAAAATATATAAACCTTGAAATAATCCTTAAATATTTATTTTTGTCTTTGTTTGTGGGGGGAGGGGTGAGTGTGTGGCAAGAACTCAGGGTCTAGGCGCTGTCCCTGAGCTTCTTTTGCTCAAGTCTAGCATTCTACCACTTGAACCACAGCTCTACTTCTGGCTTTTGGGGGGGGGGGGGGTAGTTAATTGGAGATTAGAGTCTCCAAGATTTTTCCTGCCCTGGCTGGCGTAGGACTGTGATCTTCAGATCTCAGCCTCAATAGTAGCCAGGATTACAGGTGTGAGTGCCCTGCCTTCCTTCCTTCCTTCCTTTCCTTCCTTCCCTCCCTCCCTCCCTCCTTCCCTTCTTCCCTGTCCCTCTTCCTCTTTCTCTTTCTTTCTTCCCTGTCTCCTCCTCCTCTTCTTCCTTTCTTCCTTCCTCCCTTCCCTCCCTCCCTCCCTCCCTTCCCCTCCTCCTCCCTTCCTTCCCTCCCTCCCTCTCTCCCTCCCTTCCCTCCCTCCCCTCCCCTCCCTCCCTCCCCCTTCCTTCCTTCCTTCCTTCCCTCCCTCCTTCCTTCCTTCCTTCCTTTCTTTCTCTCTCTTTCCTTCTTTCTTTCTTTCCCTCCTTCCTTCCCTCCTTCCTTCCTTCCTTTCCTTCCTTCCTTCCTTCCTTTCTTCCCCTCCTTCCTTCCTTCCCTCCTTCCTTCCTTCCCTCCCTCCCTTCCTCCCTCCCTCCCTCCCTCTCTCTCTCTCTCTCTCTCTTTCTCTCTCTTCTCTCTCTCTCTCTCTCTCTCTCTCTCTTTCTTTCTTTCTTTCTTTCTTTCGTGCTGGTTGAGGGGCTTGAACTCAGGGCCTAGGTACTGTCCCTGAGCTTTTCTTTTTTTCTATTTTTTTTTTTTTCTCTCAAGCCTAGTGCTCTGCCATTTGAGCACAGCTCCACATATAGCCTTTTGTTGATTAACTGGAGATGAGTTTCATGGGTTATCCTTCTTGGGCTGGCTTTGAACCACAACCCTCAGATCTCAGCCTTTTTTTGGGGGCGGGGGTCTGGTTGTGGGGCCTGAACTCTGGGCCTGGGCGCTGTCCCTCAGCTCATCAGCTCAAGGCTAACGCTCTACCACTTGAGCCACAGCACCACTTCTGGCTTTTTACTTTTTGCTTATGTGGTGCTGAGGAATCGAACCCAGGGCCTCAGGCATGCAAGGCAAGCGCTCTACCACTGAGCCATCTTCCCAGCCCCAGATCTCAGCCTTTTTGATAGCTGTGATTTCCAGGCATGAGGCACACTTTTAATTAACCTGTATGGTTATGTACTCATGCTGTCCTTTGTGGACAAGGGAAACAGCTAAGTGCCCATATGTATATTTATACATTTACATAAGATACAGAAGATGAGACTACACAGGTGTATATATGTATGTATGTATCTATATATATGTGTTTGTATGTGATACATACGTATATATGAGATGTCTTATTATTGTCCTGATTATAGAATAATCAATACCCAAGATAAATACAGAAAAATGAATACCTGAGATAAATATTTTCCTACCGTGGAATTAATATGATGTGATTAGTTCCTTGAAGTAAGTATTTTTCAGATAACTTTTTTTGATTGGGGAAAGCAGAACTGGTATTTTAACCCAGGGCACTGCATTTGCTAATCTGAAGCATTACCTCTGAGCCATAATTCCTGCTTTTTTTTTGCCAGTCATGGTGCCTGAACTCTGGGCCTAGGCACTGTCCCTCAGCTCTTTAGCCCAAGGCTAGTACTCTACCACTTGAGCCACGGCACCACTTCCAGCTTTTTCTTTTTTTTTTTCCTGCCTATGTGGTGCTGACGAATCGAACCCAGGGCCTCATGCATGCAAGGCAAGCACTCTACTCTACCATCTTCCCAGCCCCCCCTGCTTTTTTTTTTTACATTGATGATTTTTTAGATAGGGTCTCAACTCCTGCCTGGGCACATACTTGTTCTCTAGTCTGCCTCTATCATAACTGGGATGATAGGTACACCTGACTGAATAAAGCTATCTATTGTAAAGGGTTTCCTTGAACTTTCTTGCCTAGTCTTACCTTGAACCTGGATCCTCCAGTTTCAGCCTCAGTAATTAGGACTGCAGGCATGAGCCACTGCTTTATTCTTTTTTAATATTCAGAGGATCTCTGTATTCTATTCTCCTTGGAAGTTCAATGGTAGATATATATATACATATATACACACACACACACACACACACACACACACACACACACACACACACACACACACACACACACACACACACACACACACACACACACACACACACACACACACACACACACACACACACATATATAGGCTATTCTTATTTCAATTTCCCCCAGTATATTTTGCTTATCTTTTTTAGCAAAGTAATAATGAAGTATCTACTTATCTATAACAATTTCTGGTAACCTGTCAAGCAGAGTAAAGTCTACTTTATAATCTAAGTAATGATGGTAAGCATAAAGAATAAACCGCTCAAAATGAGAAAATTAAATAAAATGGGTGCTCTGTTTATACTGTACACTTTCTATGGGAAAATTAAGTAAATGTTATACAAGGGTCATGATTCCCATTGTCTACTTTAGCTTATTTTAATATATTTAATATATTAATATGTTTAATATATTAATTTATGCACTTAATATTTATATAGATTCCTATTATATATTTACTTAATATTTTATATATATTTGTATCACTTTATTTTTTTAGGTCTTAACTGTTCAGGATCTTGTTGATTTTTCCCCTGTTTATCGATGTTTACACATTTACTCTGTTTTGGTAAGTAAAATTTGATGATTCTTAGCTTGTTTAGTCCTCTGTGCTTGTGATTTTTTTTTATAAGTTTAAAAAGTAAAATAAAAGGAGTCTGGTAGACTGTATAATGTAAATTTGTGTAAGTATACTCTAAAATGTTTGTACAGTGACAAATTTGATGCATTTCTCAGAGTAGATCTCCATGATTAAGCGATACATGACTATATTACCAGTTCTCCATTGTCTTTTTACTGATGTTGTAATCCAGTTATCAATATTTATTTCTGTGTGTGTACTCCACATCAAATGGTTCTTATTTTTGCTTAACCCATCACTAATTTCTGTATAAAGATATAATTCAGTAAGGATGGAAGACAACAGATTAAAGACACCCTGTATTTTGTTGTGTCTCACCAAATCTGAAACAAAAATGTGCACATTGCAAAACTGAACACAAATACAAAGAATAGATAAGATGGCTCTTCCCAAAGCTCAGTAACCAAATCTCAAGATCCAGAAATGGTTGAAATGACAAAGAAAACATTCAAAAATGTAGTTTTAAAATTACCTAAAAGTGGATTCCAATGGATGAATGAAATAATTCAGCACCTAGGTGAGAAAGTCAGTAAAATGAATTAGAAATTTAACAGGGAAATTAAAATTCTTTTTTTTTTTTGGTCCTGTTGTGGGGCTTGAACTCTGGGCCTGGGCACTGTCCCTCAGCTCTTCAGCTCAAGGCTAGCGCTCTACCACTTGAGCCACAGCACCACTTCCGGCTTTTTTCTTTTTGCTTATGTGGTGCTGAGGAATCGAACCCAGGGCCTCATGCATGCAAGGCAAGCGCTCTACCACTGAGCACCTTCCCAGCACTTAAATTCTTTTTTTTTATAAAAGAAATCAAAATAGAAATATTGGAAATGAAAAACTCAATAAGTCAAATAAAAAACACAGTGGAAGGTATTACCAGTGGTTTAGATCAAGCAGATAAAAGAGTGTCAGAGATTGAAGACAAGGTCAATTATCTAATATATTTAGATAGCAATAAAGAAAAAAGTAAGTAAGATCACTAATTTCCAGAACTCTATGGCAGGATTAAGGGACAAAACCTAATAATCTATGGAGTAGAAAAAGGAGCTAAGATGCTGGAGGGGATGTGGACAGAAGGGAACCTTACTGCATTGTTGGTGGGAGTGTAAACTTGTTCAACCACTTTGGAAAGCAGTATGGAGGTTCCTCAAAAGACTCCACATAGAGCTCCCCTAGGACCCAGCAATCCCACTTTTAGGCATTTACCCAAATGTTCACAAACAAGACCACCCTAAAGCTACCAGCACGACTATGTTTATTGTAGCATTATTTACTATAGCTAAGATATGGAACCAACCCAGATGCCCCTCAGTAGATGAATGGATCAAGAAAATGTGGTATATATACACAATGAAATTCTATGCCTCCATCAGAAAGAATGACATTGCCCCATTTGTTAGGAAATGTAAAGGCGTGGAAAAAATGATCTTAAGTGAAGTAAGCCAGGCCCAAAGAAACATAGGTCCCATGGTTTCCCTTATTTGCAATATCTAGTATATGTCTGAGTCAAGCAGAAAAGTCAGATAAGTTGGTGTTAGGGAAATGAACCCTAAGATATGTATTCAAATGTTTTTTTTTCTTTCATGCGATTGTTTCTAACACATTTATAAGATTATCTCTTTGTTGCTTTGTATGTCCCTTCCCCTCCGTATAACCCCTGCTTTCACTGTATTTGATGTCAGTATAATTTGTGGAGGGGAAGGGGAAAAACAAATTGTTTAAATAGGGATACAGGTGGACCCATTGCAACAATGAGATGTACAAGTCGTTATATCAAAAATGAACTTTACAACTTTGGGGGGGGGCGGGGAGGATTGGGTGGAGGGGGGAGGATGGAAAGGGATGGGAAGGGGAAACAAAGGAGGAGGCTACAATCAATGCTTAATAAGAAATGTACTCATTATCTTGCCCATGTAATTGTAACCTCTCTGTACAGTATTTTCACAATAAAAAAAAAAGAAAAATGAGCTAAGATACAAAGATATAGAAAGTTTTTCAGTGAAATTAAAGCAGAAAACCTTCCAAATCTGAGGGCAACTAAAAACAATTGATATTTGAACCTTCAAATAAATATGATCAGAAAAGAACCTTTCCACATTATATAATAGTTTAAATGAGAAGGGTACAAAATAAAGGAAAAATATTGGAACTGCAAAGGCAAACTCATTCCCAGCCCAATACTTGTTTTTGATACAAATTTAGTATTTGGTTCACTCATAATCAGGATATACATTACACTTAAGCTGTTTGGATCGGTTAAGTACTGATTATTTTTTTCCAAATAAATTTTTATTACCTTTAAGTAGTTGTACAAAGAAGTTCCTTTTCTACAAAACAGTATATGAGTACAAAGTGTCTGACAACATTGTCACCCATCTCTCTTAACCCATCCCTTCTCTAACTTTTTTTCTTTAATTGAGATTAGGTAATTACATAAATTTCACATATTTCACTGTAAGTACTGATTATAATCATTTGTCCCAAATAAAGAAAATATTTTAACACCTATGGCCTTAATCTCACTAATAAACATTACAACATTTCATTAGAAAATACAACATTGAGGGGCTGGGAATGTGGCTTAGTGGTAGAATGTTTGCCTAGTATTCATGAAGCCCTGGGTTCGATTCCTCAGTTCCCCATAAACAGAAAAAGCCAGAAGTGGCACTGTGGCTCAAGTGGTAGAGTGCTAGCCTTGAGCAAAAGAAGCCCAGACCCTGAGTTCAAGCCCCAGGACAGGCAAAAAAATAAGTAAATAAAAATAAATAAAATACAACATTGGATACAAACAAATTAAGTAGAAAAGATTATGTATAGGTAGTCATTCTTGGCAGGAAAAGAACAACGTGTTATTAGCAGTGTGTGTAGATGGGTATAGTTACATTTTAAAAAATTATACTGTTGCCTTTATTTTAGGGTGATGAAGAAACATTTGAAAATTATTACCGAAAGCAAAGAAAGAAACAAGCAAGACTAGTATTGCAACCGCAGTCAAATATGGTAAATATATGTGAATTTTTAATTATGTTGCTGCACTTTATTCTTTTACCTTGGTTTAATTTCTTCAGAGCATGTATTCATTTAACTACAAATATTTATTGAACACTTACCATTTTTAATAGTTGGATTAGATGTCAAGGGTACAACACAGAACTGTTAAGTCCCTTTTCTAATAAGCTAATGTTTCATTAAGGAAGATGTTGAAAAAAAATAGATAAGGAGCCGGGTGCTGGTGGCTCACACCTGTAATCCTAGCTGCTCAGGAGGCTGAGATCTGAGGATCATGGTTCAAAGCCAGCCTGGGCAGGAAAAGTCCCTAAGACTTTTATCTCCAATAAACCACTCAGCAAACCAGAAGTGGCACTGTGCCTCAAGTGGTAGAACGCCAGCCTTAAGCTGAAGAGCTGAGTGACAGTGTACAGTCAGTGTACAGACAGCGTCCATGACTGACAAAAAATAATAATAATAGATAAGGGCTGGGAATGTGGCTTAGTGGTAGAATGCTTGCCTAGCATGCATGAAGCCCTGTGTTTGATTCCTCAGCACCACATAAACAGAAAAGGCTGGAAGTAGTGCTGTGGCTCAAGTGGTAGAGTACTAGCCTTGAGCAAAAGAAGATCAGGGACAGTGCACAGGCCCTGTGTTCAAAGTGTTTTATGTGTTGGCCTGAGAGGGATGCTATAGGACCTCTCAGAACACTCCAAGATCCTGCCTGTGAATTTCTCAACCATATATTAGTTTTAAGAGTGTCAAAATGAGCTGAACTTCTGGTGGTTCACACTTACAATACTAGCTACTCAGGAGGTTAAGATCTGAAGATCTAGGTTCAAAGCTAGTCTAAGCATAAAAGTCCATGAAATTCTTATCTCCAGTTAACAACCAAAAAGCCAAAAGTGGTGCTGTTGTAGCTCAAGAGATACAGCATCAGCCTTGATTGAAAGAGCTAAGTGACAATGCCTAGATCCTTAGTTAAAGCCTTACTACAAACACAGAAACATTAAAAAAAAAACAACCAAAAGTACCAAGGGAGAGAAAATATATTATTTTAAAATAAACATTTCAATGAAATATCTTGAGTACTGAATGAGAATAACTATCAACCTAGGATTCAGTATCCGATGAAAGAAGGGAAAACATGTTTTTAGATAAAGGAATAGAGTTTGCTATCAAAATACCATTACTTAAGAAATTCTGAAAGGAAAGGCTAAAATGAAAGGATACTGAATGGAAGATGGAAGATAGGAGATGCAAGAAGTAACAAATAGTAAAGAAAGTATAAATATGTAGGTAAATCTGTATTAACTGTAGGACATTTATTAATATATCTTTAAGATAGAATTAAAAAGCAATGATAGCATTAACATTGGAATGAGATGGAAATGAATAAATATTAACCATTCTACAGTATCTGAATTGTCCAGAACAACAGTTAAAAACATTGACTAATGTTAGAGTTTAATTACTTAAGGATGCTTAATGTAGCTTTTAAAGTAATAGTAAAAGGATAGATACCAAGAATAAACTTTTATGTGTTAGAGGAAAAAGTCCTAGAATGGTGAAAATAAAATTTGCATCTTGGAGTTGATAAAAAAAAAAAAGATCATTCTTAGCCAGGCGCCGGTGGCTCACGCCTGTAATCCTAGCTACTCAGGAGGCTGAGATCTGAGGATTGCAGTTCAAAGCCAGCCCGGGCAGGAGAGACCGTGAGACTCCTATCTCCAATAAACCACTAGAAAACTGGAAGTGGTGCTGTAGCTCAAGTGGTAGAGTGCTCGCCTTGAGCTAAAGAGCTGAGGGACAAGCGCCCAGGCCCAGAGTTCAAGCCCCATGACTGTCAAAAAAAAAAAAAAGATCATTCTGAACCTATAGGTATTTGATAATGTTGATTTAAAATACTTAAGATAATTAACTATAAATACAAAGAAAAATGAAAAAATACACAAGTACTATGGATTTTTAAAAATATCTTAATATCTTGTAAACCAAGTAGAATGCCAGTAGTAATATAGAATATGTTTGATGAACTTGATCAAGTGAGATATAGAGAATCCTGATGGACCAGTTGTTGAAAAATACTCTTTTCAAGAATGCATACAATTTTAGGAATTTTTATTACATAGTAGGTTAAATGTAGTTAGTATTGGGAAATATCAAACATTTTGTACTTTATAGACTACTTTTGTGATAAATACTACTTAGTATTATTTATTTTTGATGTATTGGGGATTGAACTAAGGTCTTCCTATTTGCTAGGCAATTGCTTTTCAGTTAAGCCATTTTCCAACCCCTTTTTGCTTTAGTTTTTTTTTTTTTTTTTTGAATAGAGGTCTCTTGTTTATGCCCTAGCTGGCCTCAGTCATGATCCTCCTATTTTTATTTCTCAGGTAGCTAGAATGATAGGTTCATACTCCACACCCAGCTATTACTGAGAAGAGAATCTTGCTAACTTTTTGCCAGAGCTGGCCTCAAGCTATGATCCTTCAGTCTCCACCTCCCAAGTAGCTAGGATCACAGGCTTGAGCCTTTGTGTCCATCATGATCATGAAAAAGAAACAACAACACTTTTCCTTTCAAAACTGAAACTCAAATGTTTGAAAATTTGATCACATTTTTGAAACATGTAAAATATACCATTTGAACTTATTGAAATATGAATGATAGTAAGATGATCACATATTTTCATCTTTTGTCAAAATTATAAATATACAATGGTAGGTCATTTTAAGGAGCTTGATTTTCGTTATGAATAATATGAAAGGACATGAAAGTTCAGATTACCATTTGAAAGCTATCATTTTGACAGTTTACATGAATTATAGTTGTAGGTATAAGCCTGCAAGCTAGGGGAGATGAGGTAGAATAGTGATGTAAGGTAGAACAGAATGCCCAAGTGAAAAATGATGGCAGCTTCAGCTAGTCTGCTGAGAAGGAAGTTCTGAAATCTGATTTACTTTTAGGCTTGTTCATTGTCTATTTCAATTAAAATATACATTTTATCAGAGAAAGGGTATTCCTGTTACCTAAAAATGTGTGCAGCATATACTAGGGCTCTCAATAAATATTTGTTTATGAAGTTATGGTGACTTGGAACATTTATGTTGCTGGTGTTTATTGGTTTAAATGATTTTTATTTTTTATTTAAAGCATGAAACAGTTGATGGCTATAGAAGATATTTCACTCAAATTGTAGGGTATGTATCTAATATGGAAGTAACTGTTATTAATTTTGTTACCATGTTAAATGTCAGAAATATTTTCTATTTGAGCTTTTTTATTTTTCAACACATGCTATGTTGGTAATTACTGTTTTAGGTTTTTTGTGGTGGAAGATCACATTTTACATGTGACCCAAGGATTAGTAACCAGGGCATACACTGATGAACTTTGGAACATGGCCCTCTCAAAGATAATTGCTGTCCTTAGAGCTCATTCAGTAAGTCACACAATTTATGTTACTAAAATTTTAATTCAGTTACATCAAGAACTTCAGAGCTGTATAGTGTCAAAGGAAAACTGTACCTCTGTCATTCTGCATTTGTTGTAATTGCTCAGATTTGGAAGTAGTAATCAAGACTTCCTTTGGTTTTATTAGACTGTGATTCTGTGTTGACTGGGGCTTCCCAAGATACTACTTTTTTTTCCAGCATTATAGAAAATGAAGAATTAAGCTGGTCTCATTAGTCTCAACTGACCTCTTCATTAGATCACTGAAAAGCACCATGAAGAAAGGGCTTTTAATTATCATTCCAAATTCTTTGTTTCCAAAATAAACTCCTCCATTAAAACTCAATAGAACTTGTTCTTCAATGTTTATAATTTGCAGTAATATAGTACGGTGATTAATTTCTTAAAAATTTGCAGTTTTCAAATTTGAACTCACTTGGAATAATGAGCCTTTATATAATGACAAGGTTTTTTTAAGATTTAAAATTAAACCCACAAGTATCTTCTTAGTATCTTTTGTGGGAATATTAAACATGTTAATATAAAAGATGACTGAAATTATTAATTGGTCATTATAGGCTTTTCCTTATAATAGTTTACCTTCAATGAAATATCTTCATATAAAATGTCAATCTATTATTTACAATTAGTAATGGGTAATGAAGCTTTAAAATATATTGAATGAGGTTGTGAGCTTTTATGATAGGAAATCTCTAGGAGTATTGATTCTTGATATTTTGTTCAGTAAACCTTTTTTTAAAAACATACTAATAATGAATAATAGTTTTTTTCTTTTTGGTTCTGGAGATACAATCCAGGCCTCATACATGCTAGGAAATACTCTAACATGTTAGAAGGTAGTCTTCCCTGAGTAGCAGCCCTATTGAAGCATAATACATCTTACCATGGTTTATATTCAGATCAGCTCTAAGTATATTATGGCATCTTTCCTATTAATTCTATGACATTAAATATAAAATCATACTACATGTATTTCAAAATTACTAAATGCTATTAAAGGAACAGTAAGTTTTATTATTCCTTTGAAATAACTAATTTTTATTTTGCTAATTACAGAAATGTTTGGATGATCATCTTTATATTGGAAAAAAGTAACTTTGTCTCTTTTATAAGATGGAGAATAAATAAATGAATAAAAATTTAAAATATATGGTATATATTAAAAATAATGATTTCAGTTTGAAATAACTCCTTAAAAACTAAAAACTTTTTTTTTGTCTTTTTTTTTTTTTTTTGTCAGTCGTTTTGAACTCTGGGCCTGGGCGCTGCCCTTGAGCTCTTCAGCTCAAGGTAAACATTCTACCACTTGAGCCACCATGCCACTTCCAGTTTTCTGGTGGTTAATTGGAGAAAACTCAGGGACTTTCCTGCTGGCTTTGAATCATGATCCACAGATCTCAGCCTCTTGAGTAGCTAGGATTACAGGCGTGAGCCACATGCCCGGCCTAAAATCTTTTAACAGTATCCAAAAAACTTTTTTGGGGGGGGCTTGAACTCTGGGCCTGGGCGCTGTCCCTCAGCTCTTCAGCTCAAGGCGAGCGCTCTACCACTTGAGCTACAGCGCCACTTCCTGTTTTCTGGTGGTTTATTGGAGATCGGAGTCTCACGCTTTTTCCTGCCCGGGCTGGCTTTGAACCGCGATCCTCAGATCTCAGCCTCCTGAGTAGCTAGGATTACAGGCGTGAGCCACCAGCGCCAGGCTTCCAAAAAACTTTTTGTATAATATAGTTACTATAGATCATGCTATGATCTCTCCCCTAAAAGCTTATATTAATAGAGGAAGCCTTGGATTGAACAAATCAGGATTTTTTTTTGTCAGTCATGGGGCTTGAACTCTGTCCCTCAGCTCTTCAGCTCAAGGCTAGCCCTCTACCACTTGAACCATTGTGCCACTTCTGGTTTTCTGAGTGTTTTATTACTTCTGGTTTTCTGAGTGTTTTATTGACGATAGGAGTCTCACAGCCCAGGCTGATTTTGAATCACGGTCCTCAGATCTCAGCCTCCTGAGTAGCTTGGATTACAGGAGTGAGCCAGCGGTGCCCAGCACAAACCAAGATTTTTAATTTTATTCTTTTTGTGTGTATGTGTATTGGCTTGGGGATTGAACTGGGGCTTGAATCTGGAGCCTGGGGGATATCTCTGATTTTTTTTTTTGGGGGGTCCGGTTGTGGAGCCTGAACTCTGGGCCTGGGCTCTGTCCCTCAGCTCTTCAGCTCAAGGCTAGCGCTCTACCACTTGAGCCACAACGCCACTTCCGGCTTTTTTTCTTTTTTCTTATGTGGTGCTGGGGAATCGAACCCAGGGCCTCAGGCATGCAAGGCAAGCGCTCTACCACTGAGCCACCTTCCCAGCCCCTCTGATGTTTTGATCTCAAGCTTAATTCTGTACCACTATGAGCCACAGTTCCATTTCTGGTTTTTTGATAGTTATTTGGAAATAAGAGTCTCATGGACATTTTTACCTGAGATGGCTTTGAATTGAGAGTAGGTAGGATTACATGCATAAGTCACTGATGCCTTGCTTAATTTTATTCAGAATCTGGACATTAAAAAACATTTTTTTAAGTTCTTGTTTCTTAATTTTAAACTGAATGACTCTTTGTGTGTGTGTGCTCTCTTCCCCACGTTCACTGTCCCCTTTTTGTCAGTCTTACTGTACTGATCCTGATCTTGTTCTGGAGCTGAAGAATCTGATTGTCATTTTTGCAGATACTTTGCAGGTAGGTAATGACCTTACATTCAGTTATTAGCTCTTTTAACTGCAAAATATGGAGCAGACTTATTTTTGTTATTGTAAATTATGGAAGTAAGTTAGCACTAGTAAATGTTTACTTATGTATTTATATCCCCTTTATATAGTAGGACTGTTCATATTGGTTCCTTTCTAGTTACAAAGCTTGGATAGAGCTCAGGAAATACTGCTGTCCTTAAAAAATTCAGTTAGACTAAAACATTTTTGCAACTCAAAAAAAAAATCAGGCATTTTAGAAATCTTTTTTTCTTTTAGTCCATAGTGGGGCTTGAACTGAGGACCTGGGTGCTGTCCCTGAGCTTTTTCACTCAAGGCTAGTGTTCTATTACTTTGAGCCACAGTACCACTTCTGTTTTTTCTTGTGGTTAATTGGAGATAAGAGTCTCACAGACTTTCCTGCCTGGGCTGGCTTCAAACCATGATCCTTACATTCCAGCCTTCTGAGTAGCTAGAATTACAGGCATGAGCCACTGGTGCCTGGCTTAGAAATCTTGATATAAACTATTTGCTTTATCATAAGAGCTTATCTTTACATCCTAGAATATTAATTTTTTATCTTAAACCTTAAAATTATGTACAAATTGCTTTGGTAAATTATTTTATAGCTTTTTATCTTTTTTAGTTTGTGTGGCCTACATGTCAGTGCCATAAAAAAAAATTATCCATTGAAAGAACTGAAAGTTGGAAATAGCTAGACAACACAGAAAATTGAGGGGGAGGACTTTTTTTCTGTTTTTCTTGATTGAAAGATGAAAGACAATTTAACATGTTTATTTAGCAAGAAGAAAGAAACTTGTTGAATGAAGTTAAAGACAAAATGGAATGAGTAGAAAAATCCACGGAAGAGTTCTCACAGAAGGAGACAGAATGAAGGGTAGAATTAAGAATAAGATTTGGGGATAAACCTTGGAGAAGACAAGGGAAAGGTCTACTAGTTGAAGGAAAATGTTTGGTGCTAATATGGTAGGATTTCAATGAGCTTAGAGTTGAAAGGAATGAAGGAATGAAGTTTGATAGACAGATGTTAATTTTATTTGTAAGACAAAGTCTTAAATTGAGTATGCACAGGGAATTCATCATGTTTCAGACAGGTTTTGTTTCTTATTATATCCTTTTGAAGGTATTCAAATAGATTGTTAATCTTGAATTTTTGCTCCCATCATGACTCCTAAAGTTAATACTATAATCCTTACTGAACCATTTCTAATCATTTAAAAATTGAATTTAATGTTCTTCTAATGTCTGAAAATTTACTAATAAATGATAGTGTACTTATAAGGCAGATTCAAATGAGAGAAGAAATAAAAAAATTACTCAAGCCCCATAAAATTATTTCTAGAAATCTTCCTAGATCAAGTAGAAAGTTAAAAGGATATTTGTTCCTGTGTTTTGGGAATGATGTATAGTGTAATCTGGTAATCCCTTTCAAATGATTCTTTACTATTCTCATTATTTTGTGAAGTTTTTTTTTAAACAAACTTAACTGCTTGTTGTTTTGCCCATACTTTTTGGTATTTTAGGGTTATGGCTTTTCAGTGAATCGACTCTTTGACCTTTTATTTGAAATAAGAGATCAGTACAATGAAACATTGCTTAAGAAATGGGCTGTAGTTTTCAGGTGAGTATAAGCCATTGTGCCTCTAATGTAAAGAATAATCAACTAATTGATTTTGCATATAAATAAAAATGTCTGTAATTATTATGGTAAAATGCATAGAATTTACCATTTAGATTATAGTTTAGGGATGTTAGTCACACCCCTATTGTTGCAACCATTGCCACTATCCATTCCTCCAGAACTTTTTCTTTCCAAAAAAACCCTCTCTGTATCCACTTAATAATAACTCCCATCTCCTCCTCTATCTAGCCTCTGCCAACCAATATTATTTTTTTCTCTAAAATTTGATTATGTCAGGTACTTCATATAACTGGAATCATACGCTGTTCTTTTTTTTGTATCTGGATCATTTCACTTAGCATCATGATATTAAGGCTCATATATGCTGTCATGTGTGAGAATCTCATCCTAGCTATAATCCTTCCTTCCTTCCATTCATCCATCCATCGTCTGTCTATCACCTATCATATTTTTGTGTCATCATCTTTATTAGACAGTACTGGAGGTCGAATTCAGGGCTTTGTGCTTGCTAGGCAAGCGCTCTACCTTTGAGCCACACCACTAGCCCTCTCTGTCCATTTGTTCATGGATATTTAAATTGTTTCTGCTGGCTATTATGAGGGCTCTTTTACTGAACACGAGTGGACCTGTATTTATTTGAGTCCCTTTTTGCAAATTTTGGGGGCTTATACCCAGAAGTGGAATGTTGGATCATATGGAAAATATATCTTTCACTTTTTGAGAAACTGCTATACTTCTTACTGTACCATTTATAATCATTTAAAAATTGTACTTAATGTTCTTCTAATGTTTGCAAATTTACCAATAAATGATAGTGTACTTAGAAGGCTGATTCGGAAGTATTTTATAATAGAGACAGAAATTGATAGCTTTTGAATTTGGTTTAGAGAAAGAACTATTTATATAACTTTGCTAGATTAAAAATCTTATAATACTCTAAGAGAATTCTTTTCTAATATTCTTTGTCTGGAAATAAGGGCATGGACCAAAGCATTCTAATATCTAGGAGACTTTCAGTTGCCATGAAAAGAGAAATCTGGCCCCACCTTTATTATTTAATCGTTTCTTTCCCCACTTGTCTTTTCCTTTCTGTCTCTTTTCCTCTATTCTATCTTTGCCTTCTGTCCTCTTTCTCTCTCTTCAGGAAAACGAAAGATATGCTAGAATTTTCTTCATTATTAAGGCTGAATAGTATTACATTGGCTGAATTGTATTACATGTGTGTCCTATTCTCTTTATTTATCTACTCATGAAAAAATTGATTACATGTCTAGACCATTGTGAATAATACTGAAGTAAACATTGGAGTGCAGGTATCTGTTCATTATACTGTTTTGTTTTATTGGTCATGGGCTTGAACTCAGGACATGGGCACTCTCCCTGAGCTCTTTGTTGCTCAATGCTAGCCACAGTGCCATTTCAGGTTTTTGAGTGGTTGATTTGAGAAGAGTCTCATGGAGACTTTTCTGCCTGGGCTGGTTTCAAACTTCAGTCCTCAAGATCTTAGCCTCCTGAGTAGTTAGGATTTTAGGTGTGAGCCACAGGCACCCAGTTTGGTTTTGTTTCCTTTGGATATATATCCAGTAATGAGATTGCTGATCATATTGATCTATTAATGACTATGCTAATTTACATTTCAAGCCACATCCTTGCCAACACTTACCTTTCTTTTTGAATGATGCCAGGTGATTTCATTGTGTTTTCAGTTTATACACCCATAGTGATTAGTCATGGTAAGCATTTTTTTTCATAAAGCATTTTGCCATTTCTGTATCTGTTCAGGTCCTTTGCCATTTTTAATCTGACAACTTATTTTCTTGCTGTTGAGTTACTTGAGATATATACATTTCTATCTTTTTTTGATTGGATTTGGGGCTTAAACTCAGGGTCTGGGCACTGTACCTGAGCTTTTTTTGCTGAAAGTTAGCACTCTACCACTTTAAGCCACAACTTCACTTCCAGTTTTCTGGTGGTTAATTGGAAATAAGAGTCTCACAGACTTTCCTGCCTTGTCTGGCTTTGAACTGTGATACTCAGATCTCAGCCTTCTGAACAGCTGTTATTACAGGTGTGAGCCACCAGCTTGGCCCTTATATATATTTGATATTAATCCCTTATCCAGATATATCAGTTATATTTTGGCAAGTATTTCTTCTCAATTTGTAAATTGTTTCTTCATTCTCTCAGTTGTGTTTCTTGTGTTGTACAGAAGCATTTTAGGTTGACACTGTCCCATTTATCTGCTTTCGCTTTATAGCTGTGTTTTGGAAGTTTGAGGAAAAAAATCGTTACCCAGACCAATGTTTGTGGAACTATTTTATATCATTGATTGCTTAACCCTAGTATAGTGTTTTGAACAGAATAGGAACTTTTTTAAAAAAGAATTTAGTCCTGTAAACAGACCATTTTAAGACTATATTAATGTTCTTAGATATTAATGTCTCATTCATTAAATTATCCTTTTTGAATAGTAACTGATTTCCTGGTAGTTAATGTCTCATTCATTAAATTATCCTTTTTGAATAGTAACTGATTTCCTGGTAGTTGTATAAAGGAATATTATATGGACTTCTGGTACTTTTTCCCTTGTAACCTACCTTTTTTTGTCAGTCATGGGGCTTGAACTCTGGGCCTGGGCGCTGTCCCTGAGCTCTTCAGCTCAAGGCAAGTGTTCCACCACTTGAACCACAGTACCATTTCCGGTTTTCTGGTGATTAATTGGAGATAACAGTTTTTAAACACTATTTAGAGCAGAATAGAGTCATGGGAGATTCTCATTCTATTTTAAAGGAGAAGAGTGTTTTTTTAAATTACTTTGTATGCAATCATGAATTAAACTCATGTCTTTATTTAACCTTTCATTAAGATTATAATTTTTTTTTTGCTGGATATCATTTACTACCAGAAGCATATCTTTCCCTTGATTCTTTTTTTTTTTGGGGGGGGGGGGTGGGTCCGGTCGTGGGCCCTGAACTCTGGGCCTGGGCACTGTCCCTCAGCTCTTCAGCTCAAGGCTAGCACTCTACCACTTGAGCCACAGCGCCACTTCCGGCTTTTTTCTTTTTTCTTATGTGGTGCTGAGGAATCGAACCCAGGGCCTCAGGCATGCAAGGCAAGCATTCTACCACTGAGCTACCCTCCCAGTCCCCTCTCTTGTATTCTTTACTTCAGTAAATGTCTCCTTTGTTCATTTGTCTCATCTAGAAACTACAAGTTTATCACGAGTACTTTTTCCCTCACAATCTTATTTAATTTTTAGGTCCTATATATTCTATTTCCTAAAAGTTCTTGTACCATGTAATGCTTACGGTGCTTTAGGCTGCTTTGGGGATAGGGACCAGAAAGACCGTTCTAACGTCACTGTAGTATAAGAAGCAATTGAGCTACAAGTTGTTTAACTATAAGCAGATAATCTCACAAACCTAATAAATTATTTGATTTTATGGCAGAAAAAAACTCTTGCTATGCTACTTCCTTTCTGCTTCTTCTACCACAGCTTTAATTCAAATCCTCATCACCTTTTACTTAAATTATTCTTCAGTCTTTCTAACTAGCTTCTCTGTGTTCTCTATTGGCCTTTTTTCAATTTGTTCTCCACAGAGTGAAAACTTTCATGTGATGTCTTCTCTTTAAATCATACAAATGACTTTAGAAAGATCTAGATGCCTCAGTTTGGCCACCGATCCAACTTCATCTTCCACCATATGTCTCATTAGTTTTGTACTTTTAATATGTGCTTTTAGTAATACTGCAGGGTATGTATTTTTATGCCCCCACAAACCTTTTCACTCCTAGCCTGTGAGCCATTAGAAGGCCCTCGAAATCATTCAGTACAAACAGATATGCTTCTTAGATGGTTCTTGTTAGCTGCCTGAGGCCCAGCTACCTGTATTGATAGTTTTCTATGGCTTGTAAATGATGTTATAAATTTTCAAATGACCTTTTGCAGAAAAGGTTCCCCACTCCTGCCTTATTATGCCTTTGTGCATGTGTTCCTTCTGTGCAATGTAATTTCTTCCCACGTTCTCTTCAGAAATGTCTCTTTTCGGGGCTGGGAAGGTGGCTCAGTGGTAGAGTGCTTGCCTTGCATGCATGAGGCCCTGGGTTCCATTCCTCAGCACCACATAAGCAAAAAGAAAAAAGCTGGAAGTGGCGCTGTGTCTCAAGTGGTAGAGCGCTAGCCTTGAGCTGAAGAGCTGAGGGACAGCGCCCAGGCCCAGAGTTCAGGCCCCACGACTGGACTCAAAAAAAAAAAAAAAAAAAGAAATGTCTCTTTTCATCTTTCAAGCCGTTACAGACTGCATATCTTCTCAGGCAAACTTCTTTGAGATATTCCTTCACCTATTCTGATAGTTCCTTCTTTGTCATGATTTTTATTTGCTTGGTTATTGTTTTTTGGTTTTTTTTGGTCGGTCATGGGGCTTGAACTCTGGGCCTTGGGGCTGTCCCTGAGCTCTTTAGCTCAAGGCTAGTGTTCTACCACTTGAGTCACAGCACCACTTCAGGATTTTTCTGTTTATGTGGTCTGAGGAATCGAACCCAGGTCCTCATGCATGTGAGGCAAGAACTCTACCACTGAGCCACCTTCCCAGCCTTACTTTTTTTTTATTATTATTAGCTTGCATTATTTATGCAGTTGCGGATTTCATTGTTATATTTACAGAAACATCATTTCAACTCATAGCTCAGTGGCCAAAATTAGTCATGTGGTTCTACCTAACTATAAGAACACATGGATGTGTGATGAATAGTTAATGTCTCTACTTCATTATCTATAAAATGTCTTTCCTAGTTATTACATTCTGAGAGACTTAAAAAAAGAGCTTATCAGTCTAATTTGGAAGAGAGAAGACATACCAACATTTTGAAAACTCCCTATCAAGAGCTTAGATATGTTTTTAGTGAGTTTGTTCAGGCTATATAATGTTGGGAAGTGTTCAAGTATAGAAAGTTAGAAATAAAGTACTGAGAGGAAGTAAAATTAGTAGAAAGAGAAGAGTTGAACATGAATTTCAAAGGACAAGTGCAGTATTTGGTACTGAAGTTTAGAATTCTGGATGACTGGTGTTTTCCTGTTTGGGAACATATTGACAAATAACGTTTTTGTAGAGGTTGAGTTTTTAAAGATAATGTTTTATAACACTCTAATGATATACTTTGTAATGATATGTTTTCAATTCTCCTTAACAGGGACATTTTTGAAGAAGATAATTATAGCCCTATACCTATTGTCAGTGAAGAAGAATATAAAATAGTCATCAGTAAATTTCCCTTCCAAGATCCAGACCTTGAAAAGGTACAACTAGTCTTTAATATAAATATTCTTGAAAAAATAAGTTTATGTTCTTCATTACTACATAAAATTAACCTGCCATTGTAGGGAAGAATTACTTCTTTGAGGGCAGCTTTTAGTGCATCATTTGAGAAAACAAATTATATTTTAAGTTTAAAGATCATGTCATTGTTAACTATTATTACTGTTTTTGAAGAAGGGACTTTTCTGGGGAATACTAGAAGTAGCTATTTCTAATGTTAGGTGGATTCCAAGGGCAGGTGTTAATAATGCTGGGTAGATTCCAAAACAGATATATGAGCAGAAATAAGAGCATATTCATCACTGTGGGAGATCTTATTTTGTATTTTTTAAGAAGTATTTTTCTCTAAAATGTTTTTCCAGTTCAAGTGAAAGATATATGAAGGAGTATGCATGCAAGTTTCTTCTAGAAAGAGGAATATTTATTTATTTATGGTTGGCTGTAGGGCTTGAACTCTGGGCCTAGGTGCTGTCCTTCAGCTCTTCAGCTCAAGGCTAGCACTCTACCACTTTAGCCACAGTGCCACTTCCAGTTTTCTGGTGGTTTATTGAAGATCAGAGTCTCATGGACTTTCCTGCCCAGGCTGGCTTTGAACCGTGATCCTCAGATCTCAGCCTCCTGAGTAGCCAGGATTACAGGTGTGAGCCACCAGCACCTGGCAAATATTTATTTTTTGAAGCTGTTGAACAAAAAGTAGAGAAAGGAATAGACCTGCATGGAGACTGTTCTAGAGGGCACTTATATACACAGTAATGCATAGTTGCATATATCCAGGCTCTCTGGGTAGCAGGAAATCTAGCTAGGAGAGTTTTGTAGTTACTCTATCGGTTTCCTGAACAGGAACTATGGGCATTGGAACATGACTTTATGATTATTTAGGAGGCTGGGGTTGGCAATTATTTGCATATGTAGAATACTTGTCTTACATGGTGGCAATATTCAGCAGATGATAGGAAACACAAGAAGAACAGGTTAAAATTAAATACTTAAGTAAGTTTTTATTCATTATGCAAGCACTGGGGCTTGAACTCATGGTTTTGTGAGCTCTCTCTTTCAGCTTTTTTCATGCAGAGTTTGTTTTCTGTCACTTGAGCCATGCCTCCAGTTCTGGCATTTTTGCAGATTAATTGGATATAAGAGTTTTGAGATTTTATCTGCCTGGGCTAGGTTTGAACTTTGATCCTCAGATCTCAGCTTACTGAGTAACTAGGATTATAGGTGCCCAGCTTTGAGGAGCAGGTTTAGAAGAAAAATAATTTCGCTTTGGGACCTATTATGTCTGAAATGATATAATGAAATTGAAGTGTTAATGGGTAATATTAGCTAGATATATGGATTTGGATTTCCAGAGAAAGACTTGTGAAGTAGATTTGGAAGATACTGGCATTTGCGTGGTGATTGAAGTCATAAAAGTATCTGAGATCATCTAAGAAGTATGCATACAGTATAAAGAGAAAATTTAGGATACAATCTATAATAAATCACTATAATAGTTAAAGGATAACTAAGAGAAGAGGAGTAGAGCAGGTAAAAAAAAAAAAATAGAAGGAAAGGCATTGTGTAGCAGAATAGCAAAGAAGGACAAATCATTTAGGAAGCCAGAGAAGGCCAGCTATGTCAGATACTCCAAAGAATTCAGTTAACATGAAAAGTTGCAAGACACTGAATTTAACAATTAGGTCAACTGTGACCTGGTGAGAGTACTCTTACTAATGTGACAAGGTTACAGTGAATGTCAACGTAGAGGTGTAGCTTCGATTTCATAAGTTATAATGATTAGCTTTAGGATTAAAATCATGGATGACTTTTAATTTTTGGAGACTATAATTTTCAAATGGATGTAACTGATGAAGAAGTTTAGCCAAGCAGCACACTGTGAACTATATAGTAAGGTGTGATGACATACTGGTAACAGAAAGCCACTTAAGAAATATATTCTAGGGAGTTATAGAATAAACTGAATTGTCATCAAGCCTTCAGCAGCCAGCCTCCTTCTTCCATGGCCACCTGACTTTTTTTTTTTATTATGGATACAAAGAAGCAAATAGCTAGGGGAGCCTACAGTGCTCACCATCAAAATACAAAATATATTGATATGTATTGTCTGTTCTTGATAGAAGTGTAGTAATATGATTTAAATATAGACTTAAATTGCTCTGCCTTTTTCATAAATATTCTGGATTTGTTTAAGGTACAAGAAATAAAGCAAAAAATATAACAACAACAAAATTGTCCTTTGTTTTTTGAGAAGACAGAATCTCTATGTAGCTCAGGCTGGCCTCAATTTCATCATAGTTGTGCTGAATACTTGATATTGTTACTTACTATTACTTTGTGAAATCAACTTAATGTTTATATTTTAAGTGATTTAAGTTTACATTTTAAGTGATTGTAAGTCCTTTTTTCTAAAATTTCAAAAATAATATTCTCTTTCTCTTCCTACAGCAGTCTTTCCCCAAGAAGTTTCCCATGTCTCAGTCAGTGCCTCATATTTATATTCAAGTTAAAGAATTTATTTATGCCAGCCTTAAATTTTCAGAGTCCTTACATCGAAGGTGAGTTTACTAATATAAATCTAAATTTGCCTTTATCATAACCTTTTTTTTTTAATCAGTTGTGGGTCTTGAACTCAGGGCCTGGGCACTGTTCCTGAGCTTCTCTGTGATCAAGGCTAGCACTCTACCACTTGAGCCATATCACCACTTCTGGTGGTTAATTGGAGATAAGAGTCTCCGGGGACTTTCCTGCCTGGCCTGGCTTTGAACCGTGATCCTCAGATCTCAGCCTCCTTAGAAGCTAGAATTACAGGCATGAGCCACTAGCGCCTGGCTATATCTGCATTTTTCAATAAACAATTATTTTAAAATACATATTAGTGATGTTTTTGCTTCATAGATTTTAAAGATTATGTCCAAGAAATGATTATTTACTTAATTTGAAGACCTAGGAGAGAAGAATAAACTTTTAAAGTGCTATTTTAGCAATCTTTGGGATGTTAAAAAAACCACTGTAGGTGTTTTATATCAAATTAAAGTTAGTATAAGGTTAGTGGTGCTGTGGCTAAAGTGGTAGAGCACTAGCCTGGAGCAAAAGAAGTTCAGGGACAGCGCCCAGGCCATGAGTTCAAGCCCCAGGACTGGAGGAAAAACCATATACAATAATATGTATAACATTAGTATAAGGTATAGGGTGCTAGTGGCTCATGCCTGTAATCTTAACTACTCAGGAGTTTGAAAAACCACTTTAGGTGCTTAGTATCAAATTAAAATTAGTATAAGGTGTAGGGTGCTGGTGGCTCATGCCTGTAATCCTAACTACTCAGGAGTTTGAGATCTGAGGATTATGATTCAAAGCCAGCCCAGGCAGCAAAGTCCATGAGACTTTTTATCTCCAATTAACCACCAGAAAACCAGAAGTAGTATTGTGGCGCAAGTAGTAGAGTGCTTATGTTGAGCTGAAGAGCTGAGGACAGTGCCCAGGACTAGAGTTCAAGCCCCATGACTGACAAAAAAAAAAAAAAAATAGTATAAGGTAATTTATTTCTTTAGATATCTTCTTAAAATCTCAGTTAATATGGATGGCTTAGTTATATTAAACCTGGTAATTATATCTAGAAGGAACATCAATTTGTATTTTAAAAGTAGCTTTTGGTAGCTGGGTACCGCTCATGCCTTTAATCCTAGCTATTCAGGAGGCTGAGATCTGAGGATGCAGTTTGAAGATAGCCTGAGCAGACATGTCCATGTGAGACTTACCTTCAATTAACCACTCAAACTGGAAGTGGAGCTATGGCTCAAAGTGGTAGAGAGCTAGTCTTGAACAAAAGAGCTCAAGGATAGTGCGTAGGCCCTGAGTTCAAGCTCATGATAGACTAGGGGAAAAAAAGTAGCTTTTAGTTATCATCATATATGAATTGTTTTGCAAAGAAACTGTCCTTCAGTGGGGTTATAATTTAAGAATAGTTTTGGTTTTTTTGTACTAAATACCTCATGTTTTTCTATATTGATTAATTCGATGAGTATTCTACTTTGGAAAATATCCCTTTTTCAGTTGAAGTTTATAATTTAATAAATATCTAATTACAATTTATTTAAAGATGTAAAGCCATAATTTAGAACATGTTTTAGTAAATGGTGTTATTTAGAATATTAACTAACTGTATGTTTGAGAAGGTGAGTAATGTCAGTCTTTGTTTTTAGCTCAACAGAAATAGATGATATGCTCAGGAAATCAACAAATTTGCTGCTGACCAGAACTTTGAACAGCTGTCTACTGAACCTAATTAGAAAACCTCATATTGGTTTGGCAGAGGTAGGGTAAGAAGAAATACATAGACAAATATCTTAGTATATGAAAAAAATTAGTGTGATCGCTGAATATCATCCTATAAAAATGGCTTTGTTTATTAAATTTATTAATATAAGCATATTTTTAAAATATAAAGCATTATTGTAGATTAAGATATGTGAGGGGAAAGGTTTAAATGGGGAGTGGAAGATAGAAGAACATATATTTAGACGACTTATTGCCAGCCTTTACATGGACAGTCCAAATCCTTGTTTTTTTACTTGCTCCATGTATAAGATTTGAAAAATACCATAAAAAGTTATTGAAAAATAAGTTAGTTGTCAGTGGATCATGCCTGTAATTCTAGCTACTGAGATCTGAGGGTCATGATTTGAAGCCAGCCCTGGCAGGAAAGTCCATGAGACTCATATCTCTAGTTAACTACCAAAAATGGCAGAAGTGGAACTGTGGCTTAGGGACAGCTTGCAAATCCCAAGTTAAAGCCCCAGAATGGACACACACACACACACACACACACACACACACACACACACACGCACACACGCGCGCGCGCACACTCAAATAATTATTATTATAGTAATCTGACTCTGAGTATACACACATATCTTAAAGCATTAGCATTTACGAACAATATTTGCAATAGACTTTTGAGATCAGATAATCAGTTGTATCCCATACTGCTATAATTATAATTAATGCTTTTTTTCCAAACCAGATGGTTTTGCATCTGTGTGATGTGTTCTTTACCAGATATATTTTGTATTTTCCAGCTTGTGCAAATCATCATAAACACAACACACCTTGAACAAGCTTGTAAATACCTGGAGGATTTTATAACTAACATTACAAATATTTCTCAAGAAACTGTTCATACCACAAGACTTTATGGACTTTCTACTTTTAAGGTATGTAAAAATATGACCAAAATTTTTCATTTTAGCTGTTGTAAGTAAATTTTATAAGATTAAAAGACAAACTTTATTATTTGTACAATTTCTTTATATTTCTAAATTTTGAGAATAGAAGTAATTCTTGCTCAAGTTAGCTGATAAATATCAGTTCCTTTTTGGTAATTTTAAGTCTCTTACTATGTTGGAGAAAAACATATTGATTTTCTATAATGTATTACATTTTGTTCATTTTTTTACAATAAATGGTAGTGCTACACGAGACTGACTGAATTTCTATTAATGTATCACATATAGTTCAATAGATTTATATGTGTATGTTTGCGAAATAGCAGTAAGAAAAATTAAGTAGTGAAGTAAGCAACTCTTAAGTTTTTCATCCTTTACTAGCTCTAATCTGAAGAAAACTAAATATCCCATATCACTAGTCTTCCTTTTTATAGATGAAAAGTTTTCTTTATAACACAATGGAATATAATGAGATTAATTAGTGGTTGCTTTAGGAGGAATGCAAGATAAAATAACTTGTTTTATAACTGTTCCATTCATTTAGAGTCAAAGAAATGAGACACTAGTTGCATTAGTTTTTTTGTTTCTGAGAAACAATTTAAGGGAGAAAGTTTCATTTTGGCTCATAGTTTTAGAGGTTTCAATCCAAGGATGCTTGGTTTCATTGCTTTTTACCTGAGAAGAGGCTGAATTCCATGGCCCAGAGTATATAGTGGAGTGTAATTGCTCATTTCCTGGCAATTGGGAAGCAGAGCACACTGTGCTAACAGGCTTCTTCCTTTGTCTACTTTTGTCCCATCTGGGCACCCAGCCTATATGTTGGTGCCACCCACATTCAGGGTGACTCTATCCCTCTCAGTTACTGTTCTACATGCCAGTTATCTCTGGAAATGCCCTTATACACATACATAGACGTGTGCTTTATTAATTTCCTCGGTCTCTCAACCCAATCTAGTTGACAGTCAAGGTTAATTATCTCATTGGTAGTCTATTAGTTGTATTTCAGTCTTCCATTAAAGTAATGGTAAAATAAGTTCTGACCCCTTATCTGTAAAATAAGCTTACTAGTTTAGCCTCATAGCAATTTCTAAAAGTTTTCTATTAAAAGAAATACTTGTCTTACTATCTTCCTTTAAGTTCCTTAATTTGCCTCCTAAAATTATGTGGTAATAGTTCAAAATTTTACATTCGGTGTATTTGTATTTAGAAATAACTTATTTAATGTTAACATTCACTCAAACTTTGAAAGTATGAAGTCTAAAAACAACTTAAAATGTCTTAAAAATGTCTTAGCTGGGTGCCAGTGGTTCATGCCTATAATCCTAGCTACTTAGGGAACTGAGATCTGGGGACCACAGTTTGAAGCCAGCACAGGCAAGAAAGTTCATGAGACTTTTATCTCCAAGTAGTAGAGCACTGGCCTTGAACAAAAAAGCTCAAGGACAGTACCTAGGCCCTGAGTTCAAGCCTCAAGACTAACACACGCACACACACACACAAAGATATATCTTCTCTTCAAATCATATATACCTTTGATGACTCTTGTATAATTATTCTGATAAATAAGACAAATACAGAATAATACCAGAGTCTGTGAACGTACACAATTAGTTATTAAAACAGAAGCATAAAAGCAGGCATTCATTTATTTAGTAATATATAGAGCTGTCAGCATATGTGCTCTGAAATTAGACTGTTGCCAAGGGAGTTGAGCAAGTTTTTTTAAAAGAATATTAATGATTACAAATGTCTCATCTATAAAATTAGATTGACAATGTGTTTATTATAAGGTTTGAAGGAGATAGTTTAGAGCAATTCACTATATATCAGTTATATACTGAGCATTTTATTAGGCCTTGAGGATAGAAATACCTATCCCTTTTCTTAACAAGCTCATAGGAGAAACAACTGTAAAAGACACTGAACAGTATCATGTAAGTGCCATAATATAGAATATAGGTGGAGACTGAAATTTTGGACCTTTATCCAAAAATCCTTAGCTGCTTTTTTTTTTCTTTTTTTTTTTTTTGCCAGTCCTGGGGCTTGAACTCAGAGCCTGGGGCACTGTTCCTGAGCTTCTTTTGGCTCAAGGCTAGCACTCTACCAGTTGAGCTGCAGTGCCATTTCTGGTTTTTCCTGTTTATGTGGTGCTGAGGAATCGAACCTAGGGCTTCATGCATACTAGGCAAACATTCTACCACTAAGCCACATTCCCAGATTTTAGCTTTTATATTAGGTTTTTCGTAAACTCTTACTGGCCTTTCTGTCCTTATATCCATGTATTACTCCTACTCTAATAAAAGGAGATTTGCTAAGAGTTAGAGCTGTAAGCATATATAATGGTTAATATTGAATTTCATCTGCTGATTTTGTACTTCTTGTTTAAAATATACATTTACAAATCTTGTATCCTAGAATCTTTAAGCAGTTTTTAAATTCTTTTTTATGTAGGCCATGAAATCTCTACTTGATTTGCTTAATGTTGAGCTAATGATTAGACATGGATTTCCATAAAAACCTGGCACCATTATGTTTCCAGTCTTTGCCAAATGGGTCTGTAGATGTTGGGGCTTGCCTGAAATATTGAGATAGGAAGTTAACAACTCTGCCTTAGCTTTCATTTTCTTCTTGCACAGAACTTCAAGGTATCATTAATGAGAGTTTAGAGTTTCTCAGATCTTTCCTGAGTATGTGCAGTCCTATATGTGCATGTGAAGTTTAGATTCTTGGGAATATCAGGACTTTTCAAAGATATTTATGAACACCCAATTTCCCAATTTTTTCCTTTTAAGTTTTTGGTTTATCTATTGTGTAACAACTGTTGTGTACTATCTGGAGGACAGGGAGGTATTTTGTTCCAGACAAGCTATAATTCAGGTCAAATAAAGACATCCCTTTAAGAAGGGCTGAAGTCTTCTAAGAAATGACCCAATAAGTAATGATAATACACTGAGAATGTAGCTTTGAAAGAGTACCACGCTTATTCTTCCACCTTTGTGACTGGTCAGCTGTTCCTTTTTACAACTCCATGATCTGGATTTTCAAGGTTACTATGGAACTAAAGGAAGGGAGAGACTATGGAAAACAGTAAAATGGCATAAAACTCATCAAGATTCAGTTGTTTTTCTTGAAGAAATACTGTCTGAATTGCTGGAAAATTTTAATTTCTAGATTTGTGGAAAAGTTGATTTTGATATTGTCTTTTTTCTTTGCCCAGGCTTAATTCAATCATAATCTAAATTCAAAGCCTAGCATCTATAACTGTCCTCTGTGTTTACAGGTTCTACACTTGTGGCTTAAACCAACTACAGAATTTGCCATAGTTCTCTAAACAATACAATATAACAACTTGTGGCATCATTTTATATGAGGTATTATAAGTAATTGAGAGGGTATAAAGTATTCAGGAGGATGTGTCAATTTTATGCAAATACTACACTATTTTATGTAAGTGACTTTGGTCCATTTGGAATTTGGTATTTGTGGGGAGAAGGCACTTCTACAATCAACTTGTAGATTTCGAAAGACAACTGTATGCTACTTTTTTTTTTTTGGTGATAGTCCAACTTTTACTTTTTCTTAGTAAATCAGTAAGTATGATCTTCTGCCTTCTTGACAATTTCTGTTTCTCACTTTCTTTTTCTAATAGTCTTTTTGGAAAAGATATATCTCATGAAATATCTGATCACTTAAAAATGAAAAGGTGAGCTGGGCGCTGGTGGCTCATGCCTGTAATTCTAGCTACTCAGGAGGCTGAAATCTTAGAATTTCAAAGCCAGCCTTGGCAGAAAAGTCCCTGTGAGACTCATCTCCAATAACCACTCAAACCAGGAAGTGCCGCTGTGGCCCAAATTGGTAGAGCACCAGTCTTGAGCAAAATAGTTCAGGGACAGTACCTAGGCCCTGAGTTCAAGTCCCATGACCAATGACAACAACAAAGAAAGAAAAAAGAAAAAGAGAGAGAAAGAGAGATAAAAGAGAGAGAAAGAGAGAAAAAGAAAGAAAGAGAAAGTGATAATGAGGCTAGGAAGAGAGAGAAGAGCTAGGCATGGGGGTTTATGCTTGTCATTCTAGGTACTGAGGAAGTAGAGATTGGAAGGATTGAGGTTTGAGGCCATCCTGGCTGAAAGTTAATGAGACTCCCATCCCAACCAATGGCTAGGTATGGTGGTATGTACTTGTCATTCCAGTTGTATTACAGGCTGATACTGGGAGAATCAGAGTTCTATGACAGTCTAAACAAAAAAGTTCATGCAATTCTATCTCAGCAGAAAGAGTTGGGTGTTGTGGTGTTTGCCTATCATCCAACTGTATCTGGACAAAAAAAAGAGAGACCTATCTCAAAAATAACAGAAGCAAAAGGGCTGGGAGTGTGGCTTGAGTGGTAGAGCACTTGTCTAGCAAGCATGAGACCCAGTACTGCCAAAAAGGAGGGAAGTGAGGGAGGGAGAAGAGGGAATGAGGAAGTGAAGAAGGAAAGAATAACAAGTGAATTAAACAGAGTATTGCCAGCAAAAAAACCCTAACAGTTTTCCTGAAGTTTAAATAAATAACTAAAATAATAGAAGAAAGAAAATTCTACTTAAAATTTGGACTTTTAAGAAAATTTTATTTACGCTCGACTTCTATTATTATTTCTTTTCATTATTTTTGTCCATATCAGGATGCTCGGCATGCGGCAGAAGGAGAAATATATACCAAACTTAATCAAAAAATTGATGAATTTGTTCAGCTTGCTGATTATGACTGGACAATGTCTGAGCCAGATGGAAGAGCTAGTGGTTATTTGATGGATCTTATTAATTTTTTGAGAAGCATATTTCAAGTATTTACTCATTTGCCTGTAAGTATAAACAATTGCAAAAACTTGTGCAAGTTTGCTTACTAAGGTTGTATTTTAGAAGTTAAATTTAGTAATTTTCACAGATTTTGGTAGTAGTAGAAAGCTGTAGAATTTGGAGAACTGCCAATATCTACTTTATATGTTATCTCCGTGGTTAGATAAATGCACTTGTACTGTATTAAACCATAAGATTCAGTACTAAACACAAATGAAAATTCATTCATTCATTCATTCATTCATTCATTTATTTATTTATGGGTCCGGTCATGGGCTTGAACTCTGGGCCTGGGTGCTGTCCCTCAGCTCTTCAGCTCAAGGCTAGCACTCTACCACTTGAGCCACAGTGCCACTTCTGGCTTTTTTCTTTTTGCTTATGTGGTGCTGAGGAATCGAACCCAGGGCCTCATGCATGCAAGGCAAGCGCTCTACCACTGAGCCACCTTCCCAGCCCACAAATAAAAATTTATTATCTGCAAGTTTTACTACCAGATAGCAGAAGAAGATTCATGTTTAAAATGTTACTTGGATTTTTGCAGATAAGGATGGTAGAATTCCAGGATTTTAGCCTGTTTCCTGTGATGGGAGGAAAAAAAAGAAAAATATAGGCACCCTTGTTTTGAGTTCAGCAGTCAGAAGTTGAAATGAGAGAGTTAAAATTTGTAAGAGATTGTTTATATCAAGATTACCTTTTGTTATGAGGGGAAAAAAGGCAGCAAAAGGAAGATCAGAACTGAAAAGATAAGGAGATTTTTACCGCAAGCCAAGATCGGGTGATACTTTAGAACATCTGTTCTGTTGTTCATCTTTTTTTTTTTTTTTGGGTGGTCATGAGGCCTGAACTCTTGGCCTGGGTGCTGTCCCTCATTTCTTCAGCTCAGGGCTAGCACTCTACCACTCAAGCCAGACCGCCACTTGCGGCTTTTTCTGCTCATGTGGTGCTGAAGAATTGAACCCAGGGCTTCATGCATACAAGGCAAGCACTCTACCACTGAGCCACCTTCCCAGCCCCATTGTTCATCCTTATATGGAGGAAACAATAATGGAAAAACGAGATTAGAGAGCTGCGTTCTTGCTTATAGAATACTTGTAGGTCAGGAACAGATAATAGAAATGCAGTAGACATAGATGTTGGTAACATTCTTATAAAAAAAAAAACTTATATAAGGTACTATGTTTCAAAAAGTTAAGAGATTAGACTTTGCAGAAAAAGTCACATACAGGAGCATGTTTAGACTAGTGTTTCATAAAGAAGTCCAGACTGTGGGAAACCACCTTTTAATCGTTTCCTTTTCTTTTATCTGGGAGTCTTTAGCCGTTGTAGGAAAGCTATCATGTTGTTCTAAGACCTTTCTATCTTTTATGGAAATCCATGTGGTAGGTGGTAGCATTGACATTAAAATCTCTGTTGATTCTTTGGAAGCAAGAGAAGTAGCAGTTGGCACAGATCTGTAGTAGCTGTCTGTAAGGATTTATTCTTCATTCAGAACATTGTGGGCTGTCATGTAGAAAGTTATTCTTAGAAAAAAGGATAAATAGTTTACCTTGATTGCCTTTCTCCCTGTTCTTTGTGGGTTTGTTTTGTTTTAATATATATCTTCCCTTCTTTTGATGTATTTCTCTTAAAATCCGCCCTGCATTTCTCCCAAACTGGAGGTGACTTAATATCCATACCACCTCTATTGTCATAATCTAGGGCTTAGACTTGTGTCTAAAAAGCCTGTCTAGAAAGCCTTTGTCCTTCAGGATAAGGATAGAACAAAACTGAGAATCTGCAAATCTGGAGATAAAGATAGCCCGTCAAAAGATGCAATTTTTAAAACCATAGATCTTAATGGGATTTACTTTATCAATGACAACTAACAGAACATAGCCAGGCCACATTCAGTTAGGAAAATGAGGACATTGACTACACCCAGTCTCTGAGCATGACTCCTTATTATCCCATTTTACAGAGCATGTCATTCAAATGTGTGCCTTAGGAAATGAAGTCCTTCTTATACTAGACTCTCAGAATCTCTCAAAAGATTGAATCATAAATCCTTGAGTGACAGAGACCTCCTTTGCTAGATTTTAAATCTTGATTATGCTTATATCAGCATCTACATGTATTAAAAAGAGACAGAAAGGGTTGATTTAAGATGCATTTGTCCAATTTATTAACCGTTATGTGGAAATCACCTCTACACCTCACCTCCAAAGAAATTCTGACAATTTCTTTGTAAATATAAAACTAAGGATATGAAATAGTAAATTTTCATTATTATATAGTCCTGATCCTCAGAACTGGATGCTTATATAAAGAAATTAGAATAAGAAAAAAATTAAAAGGATATAGCATACAACTATCATAGTTATTGCCTTAAGAATGGCTTGTAGGGCTGGGAATGTGGCTTAGTGGTAGAATGCTTGCCCAGCATGCATGAAGCCCTGGGTTCAATTCCTCAGTACCACCTAAGCAGAAAAAGCTGGAAGTAGTGCTGTGGCTCAAATGGTAGAATGCTAACCTTGAGCAAAAGAAGCTTATGGACAATGCCCAGGCCTTGAGTTCAAGCGACAGGGTCAATGTTAAAAAAAAAAAAAAAAAAAGAATGGCTTCTGGTATAATTGTTTTCTACATGAATTTGTGAATTGCCCTCCTCTAATTTCCTCTAATTTCTCTTGCTTTTCTTACATTTGTCAAGTGAGAAGAGTTACAGGCCATTAATATTTAATCACTTCCAAGTATCAAGCAGAGGAATTTCTTCAAAACCTTGACTTCTCGAGACTTTTATTGCTTTGCTTATCCATTCATTTTCTTTCCGCCTATTCAAGTTGATATGACATTGAAGATACCTAGGTGTGCCATGACAACAGTAATGTACTAGAGAGCTAAAAACGTACGTTCTTGCCGGGCATCGGTGGCTCACGCCTGTAATCCTAGCTATTCAGGAGACTGAGATCTGAGGATCACGGTTCAAAGCCAGACCAGGCAGGAAAGTCTGTGAGACTCTTATCTCCAATAAACCACTAGAAAACTGGAAGTGGCGCTGTGGCTCAAGCAGTAGAGCACTCACCTTGAGCTGAAGAGCTCAGGGATAGCACCTAGGCCCAGAGTTTAAGCCCCATGATGGACAAAAAAAAAAAAGTATATTCTCTTTGTCATTTAAAACTGAGTTCAAAAAATTGTTTTTCTTTTTTGTTTAGTTTTAAAATAAAAGGCTGCCAATGTTTGATGAACCCTATGATTGGAATACTTTTGAGGGAAATAGGAATGTGCTGAGTATTACTGGTAGCTCTAATGTTTGCTTACTTTAGAAAAAAGTTTTATTTCATTTTTAAGATAATCATGTTCTATTTTCTCTCCTCTTTCTCCTTCCCTGCCTTCTTCCCTCCCCTCTAGAGAAAACATTTATGTTGCTCCCTCACTTGATTGAAAACTATTATAAGCAGAAAGTGCAAAAGCCTAAAACAGGAGAAGAGGGATTTGTAGTTGCTTATGGGGATTGTGGTTAATTGATGTGGTAACCAGTTTTTTGAAATGATAGCAGTAATTAGATGAGGATAGAAAGCAAGTGTAAGAGAAATAGAAAGGTATTTGGGAAAATGTTGGGAGTGCCAGAGTGAGTATATTTTGATAGACCTATGAATTTTTTGGCATAACCTTAAAAATCTGTCTGCAAAGTAGTATCAGAGTTATTAAAACTCACAAAAGAAATTTATCTTGATACTTAAACCTTTATAACTCATTCATTCTGTATTGGGAATTTGAGTTACTTCAATATATATAGAGTGGTGAGTTAGAAAATTTACATTATTAGTAAAGGAAGCCTTGTTTATTTGGGAAGTTATCTGAAAGAAATTTTCACATTTTATTCTAAGGGTATAGTTTTTCTGATTTAATAACATTTTTTACATTTTAATAAAATATAGTTTCTTACATTTAAGACTTTAGATTGGTGGTTCTTATATAAAATAGGAGAAATATTACATTTTAATTAAAATTTCAACTTTTCAACTATGCATCTTTATATTTCAGTTAAGAGTCTTATTTCTAGTTTTCATGTTTACTCCACATTTGATGAAAGACTTCTTTCAGTCTGTATACTTAACAGGTTATACATTGTGACTTGAGAGTCTTTCCTTCCTCTTTTTGCCTCTGAAAAGACTGTTTCAGTCTCATAACTGAAATTTATGTAGCAACCTGAGTTGAAGTGAATTTGTATTAAATAGCAGTCTACTAATTTAAATAACTTTAAAAGCAGGATGAGAATTGATATATTTTCTTACCCATGTTAGGTTTTTTGGTTCAAGTAGAGCATGACTGCTTTCACTTTTTTTTCCTGAGAAGGGTTACATAACCTTTTAAGCCAAAGCCTGTTATCAATTTAAAGACTAATGTAATGCACAATATATTTACATCTATATATTTCTTTTTTACTTAAGTAAATAGAATAAGGTTTTTTTGGTGGGGCTATAAATAAAGAAAATAGACTGTTCTGGGACCTTTGAGGAAGAGTAGATCAATGCAGAAAGAATGGTGTGATTTCAAGAGCATGTTTTTATATTGCAGGTACTTAAAAGAGTATAAAAGCACTTTGAAAAGTATGTTCAGATTATTACTGTTGAAACAAAATAGTTTTTTAAAAATTAGATCTTTGAAATAAAAGAATGGTGAGATCTTTGAAATAAGAAACGCATATAAACTTGAAATGAAAATTTAAGGTGCCAAATTGGTTTTTAAATATTCCACATTTTCCCATTATATTAGAATTCCATGAAAATGTTACTTTGAAACTGAAATAAGCTGAGCCATAAGCTGGTAAAATGTGTTTTAGTTTTGTTGCCATGTTATTTCATGATGTTTCAAAAGAAACCAACTATCCTTAGCCTAACCTAAAATAGTAAATTATTTTGAAATTTTTGCTTAACATGTAAACAGAAGTGCATTTCTTTTTATGCCTTTTAGACTGAAGCTAGGGGTTAGTGGTTTATTGTTCTTGTGATTGGCATTAAAAGCCTTATTTCACAGCTTGCAGTGAGGGACTATTGGGTAAAGAGTGGCTGTGTTCCACAAACTAAATTCAAAAACTGTCAATCAAGGTCTTACATAGGTTATTTAGAGAATGAGTTTTCTTACTGATTTCACCAAATGTCGCCTCATGCTGTCTTTGATTGGCACACCCTGGCAGGGAGGATGGATGAATCTGTCACCGGCTGGTTAATTGTGTTGCTGGTCTCAGTCTGACATTAGGTCTTTGACTCTTAAATGGCTCAATACAAAACAAATTAGCAGATTGTAGTCATATTTCTCATTCTATATGCTTTGACTTTGTTGAATGCAGTCCATAAATCATATTGACTGACACACAAGTAAATGATGAAAGCTGCTTTTGAGACATGAATGTAGAAAGCAGCACTGAGAAGGTGCCATGGAAGGATGCATATGGTTGACCCTTTGGGAATTTCCTAGGAGCCAAATGTCTCTTTACCACAATTGTTCTAAGAAGAAAAGCTTTGGGGTAATGCAAAAAGGATCTAATATGTCAGCAGATTCTCTTTTACAAGTTCCTTTGAAATATAAGAAGTTTGTCTAAGACTTTTTTCTCTTTGCAAGTTGTTTTTAAGCAAAATTGTTAAAACAAAGCAAAAAATGTAGTTATTGTTAAAAAGTTTAGCAGGTGTTTATTTATTGAACTTGGTTAAGGAGAAAGAAAATGTTAATTTGTGCAGTTTTTCAGAAAAGGACAGGAAAAAGTTTATTAAATGTGCATTGTTTTTTGTTAATAGTTTTTAATGAAAGATTGAGTTTTTAAAGATAATTGTGAAAGTATTAATGTTATTTTTATTTTAGAAAGTGATATATTAAAAACATCAACCATAGTAATAATAGTTCTCAGGTTGGGGTTTTGGTAATAGCAAAATGTGCCATAGACATCAGAAATAAACAAATATATTTTGGGGGTATGCAGACTTTGGTGACATTAACAGTTTTCTCTGAAAATTAGTATCCGATGAAATTGGAAAATGGTTCTACACATACTGCAGGTAGAAACTACACATTAAAAAATCAATGAATATGTAATCTTACAAGAAAAAATTAAAATTTGATGAATTTGACCACATGATTATATTTAACTTAAATAGGAAGTATTTCACTGGAAAATTTTATAAAATATTACATATATCTTTAAAAGTATTGTTGACTTAGAGAGTGAGTGAGGAAAAAGGTGACATTGTCAAAAAAGAAATGACAATACCTGACTTATGTAACTGTAACCCCTCTGTACATCACCTTTATAATAACAAAAAATAATAAGGTCATTGTTGCTCTACTTTCAAGACAAGAAAAAGTTAAAAACAGTACATGTTCAATGTATTTAAAAGAAAGTTAGTGTTAGAAGTTGATTATTACTGTTATTTACTAGAAGAGCTAAGTTTGTGACTGTTTTCATTGAGTATTTCCATCACACTTGTAGAATAGCCTATAGCTGTATCCTGCCATCATTTTCGCCTTCAAGTGCTATTGCTGTATAGTTATTTATAGCCCCTGAACCCATGTTGAATTTTAAAAGTTTTCTAAAAACAATAACTCTTCCATTACTTTGTAGTTTGTTTATGAAGTGGATTGAATGATTTTTGGCAATTTATTGATCTGCTTTTGCAATTAGTACATTATACTTGCAATAGGACACGGAGCTAATTTGATGGAGAAGTACATTAAGCTAAAATGTATTAGTTTTTGCATTAAGTCAAAATGACATTTCTATTAAATATTCTTAAGCCTAGTATATTGTATTAAATGACATGCCATTGATTTCTCCCTTTTCTGCTTTTATTATCACCCCCCATTCATATTGATATTTTTCTACTTGGGGAATGGAACTGCATGTCTCCCAGACTAATTCCTCTGGGTTTAGGGGATCTTGAAGCATGCTGGGTTTTTCATTGTTTGTTACATTCCTTTTTGGCAGTTCATCAGTATCTGTCAAATATATTGTTTTCATTGGCTTTTATCTCTATAAAGTTTTTTTATTGAGATATTGACATTCCATTTTCAAATATGTAGTTTTCTATTGTGCATAGTGTCTAAATTAAATTAATTAAATTAATTAAAGACTCATAAAATAACTTCGTTCTAGTCTGATGTTTAATGTTTAAAGAATAGTCTAATGAATTACATCATGAAAATATACTTGTGTCCTTTTCAAATCAATGCCACATAAATGTTTTGGTACTAGCAAGTTGTAGCATTGTTTGGGAGACATTTTTCATGGCATTGTAGCATTATTGATCTTTGCAGTGAATAAGAGAAACACAACTATCATGTATCACTTGGCAAATATGTTAATGGAAATGAGGCAAAACATAACATGTCTTCTAAATGTCATTTTCTCTAACTATATTCATAGACCTTTGAGCTCTACTTATGGGAGAGAGTCCATCATCAAGTCACATAATTGTCAGTTGAAGATAGCCACCATATAAGCAGTATTACTGCTGGAAAATTATTCCTAAAAGAGTCTTACAATACTTTTTTTTTTTTTTTTGTCAGTCATGGGGCTTGAACTTTGGGCTTGGGTGCTGTCCCTCAACTCTTCAGCTCAAGACAAGTGCTCTACCACTTGAGCCACAGCGCCACTTCCAGTTTTCTGAGTGGTTTATTGGAGACAGGAGTCTCACAGACTTCTGTGCCTGGGCTGGCTTTGAACTGCGATCCTTAGATATCAGCCTCCTGAGTAGCTAGGCTTACAGGCGTGAACCACTGGCACCTGGCTACTTTCTCTTTTTTTGTGTGTGTCTATCACGGGCCAATGAACTTGGGACCCAGGTGCTATCCCTGAGCTTTTTCACTGAAGGCTAGCACTCTACCATGAAAGCCATAGCTCCACTTGTGTCTTTTTTGCTGGTTAACTGGAGGTGAAAGTCTTAAGGACTTTCCTTCCAGGAATGGCTTTGAATTGTAATTGCCATATCTGGGCCTCCTGAGTAGCTAAGAATACAGGGGTGAGCTACTTGAGCCCAGTGTAATACTTTATTTTAAGCTTCTCCTGCAAAGCTTGACCCCAAAAATGGTTTATAATAAAATGATGTGGTATTGTGGTTCAGCTGCGTAACCTATGGGCTACAGTTTTCAAAATGTTATTTTTAAGAAAATAACTTTTATCAGTGACAGTTCCTATAGAATTTTAGGAGCTCATTGTTGTAGAAAATATTTTTTAGCTGTGTTATATATTATGAGTGAGAACCACAGAAGTTGCAGTTTGCTTAACTACATATTTCTTTGGGCGGGGGGGGGGGGTGTCAGGTCGTGGGGCCTGAACTCTGGGCCTGGACCCTGTCCCTCAGCTCTTCAGCTCAAGGCTAGCACTCTACCACTTGAGCCACAGTGCCACTTCCGGCTTTTTTCTTTTTGTTTATGTGATGCTGAGGAATGGAACCCAGGGCCTCATGCATGCAAGGCAAGCACTCTACCACTGAGCCCCTTCCCAGCCCTTAACTACATATTTCTAGATTACTAGGTGATTTTTAAAACTTTTGAAATTAAATATAGTGTGAATTTGATTGAAAAGAGATTAATTTGAAGTCATATTCCTCATAGCATCAGTAATTGATGCTATGCAATATACTAAGAGTTTGAATGGGACTTAGGACTCAAAGTATATTTTGAACTTTAGGTACCAGTTTAAATAATAATATAATACAAATTACACCATTAACTTCCTTATACAAAAGAGAGTATTATCAGGATATTTTGTCAACATGATAGTGATTTTTATGTCATAAATCTCATATTTAATTTTATTTACTTTTCTTGGCTTCTTGAGACAGAGTCTTTCTGTATAGCCCAGACTAGCCTCAAACTTGTGATCTTTTTGCCTTTACCTCCAGGGTGCTCGGATTACAGGTATGCATCATTCTGCCTGGCACAATTAAAAATATTTGAGATTTTTCAAGAGATTTGTTATAATAATGGTATTTTAATTTGTTTTGAGCTTTAATGATATTATATCCTGAGAAACAGGAATTTTAATTCCTATAATACAAAGGCATCACCATTCAGAATACAGAAATAGAAAAGCCAATAATCACTATTGTGGCAACAAAAATGGCAAGTATATAATTTTTGTGGCATTTTATGATGTTTTTCTATGCTTGCTTATCTGTGTTTTGGGTTTGATTGTTTGTTTTAAATAGGGGAAAGTTGCCCAGACAGCTTGCATGTCAGCCTGCCAGCATCTGTCAACATCCTTAATGCAGATGCTATTGGACAATGAATTAAAACAGATAAGCATGGGAGCTGTTCAACAATTTAACTTAGATGTCATACAGTGTGAATGTAAGTACTATCTTGGTTAACTCTCATGCATTTCTAGGAATCTATATTTAAATTATATGAAAAAATGTAATAGAAGATAACTTTTTTCTCAAAACTCACTACAAAATACTTAATTTGTATATATAAAAATATTTTCCCCAAACACTAATTTTTACATTTCTAAACTCAACATCAACTGATATTCTTAGTCTAGAAATAATTAGAAACACATTTCTTTTCTTTCTTGTATTCTTTCTTTCTTTCCTTCTTTCTTTTTCTTTCTTTCTTTCTTTCTTTCTTTCTTTCTTTCTTTCTTTCTTTCTTTCTTTCTTCCTTCCTTCCTTCCTTCCTTCCTTCCTTTCTTTCCTCCTTTCTTTCCTCCTTTCTTTCTTTCTTGCCGGTCCTGGGGCTTGAACTCAGGACTTGGGCACTGTCCCTGAGCCTCTTTGTGCTCAAGGCTAGTGTTCTACCACTTGAGCCACAGCGCTACCTCCGGCTTTTTCTGTTTATATGGTGCTGTGAATCAAACCCAAGGCCTTATGCATGCCAGCAAGCACTCTACCACTGAGCCACATTCCCAGCTCCCTCATTTGTTCTTTCATACTGAAAATTGAGCCCATGGCCTGGTACCATGCTAAGATACATTGTCCCACTAAGCTGTACACCCAGTTTAAACTGAATTCTTGAAGTTTTTTTTTTCAGTTGTCTTATGAGATCATTCCAGATGGCATTGTTTATGTAAATACTTTACATAGGTATTACTTGAGGCATTTGTGTTATTAAATCTTTTATGTAACTTTTGTTGTTAGTTGGTTAAAAACTTCTGTTGGCTTCTGTTATGTTTTCTCAATTAGATTTATTGCCTAATGATGGAAATGCTGCTTGGTTAGATAACTTAAGGTGTCTAAACTTCTCTGTGTTCTTACTTTTCCACAAAGGGCTAGTCTAACTATTCTTAAGGAAAATCACATTTATCTTATACCTTTGCCTCACTATCCTGCTATAGGATAATTTCTACTTTTAGTTACTCCTATGGATAGAGTTAACTGAAGTCTCCTTTTAAAATGACTGATATCTTGGAGAAGATCAAAAGAAGTCCTGAGTTTGATTTAATTCAGTTAAGGATTTCTGGAGTCAAGTACAAGAAGGATAAACCCTATCCTGGTAGGAACTAAGGTTCTGGCACTGGAGATAATAGAAAGGAAAAGGCCAAAACTTAGAGGCAAATCATAGGAGCTAACTTGGCTTTCCTGAAGATTTTTGCCTTTGTTTGGCTCTGTCTCTTACCATTTATATTACTGTAATCATTACTTCTTAATATAAAATCACACACTTAGTACTTACTGAGCAAATGTAAATTGATGGATTACATTTTCTTTTTTTTCTTTTTTTCTTTTTCTTTTATCGGTCATGGGGCCTAACTCGGCCTGGGTGCTGTCCCTCAGCTCTTCAGCTCAAGGCTAGCGCTCTACCACTTGAGCCACAGGACCACTTCAGGCTTTTTCTGCTTATGTGGTGCTCAAGAATCAAACCCAGGTTTGATTCTTGCATACAGGTCAGGCACTCTACCACTGAGCCACTTTCCCAGCACCTCGATTACATTTTCATGTTTATTTTTCTACCTCTGGTGTTAAATGTTCTTTTAAAAAAGCCAACTTTTTACTTTAAATAGTGTAGTATAAATAATAAAATCTTTTTCTGTTGTAAAGGAAATTTTAATCTGCGACTCATATCTTTGATCATGTAAAAATGGAACTTAGTTTAACAAACATGAGAAGAATTTTTTAATGTTTTTTATTGTAAAAATACTGTACAGAGGGGTTACAGTTACATGAGTAAGGTAATGAGTACATTTCCTATGGAGCATTGTTACCTCCTTTTCCCCTACCATCCCTTCCCACCCCATCTCCCCAACTCCTCCCTCTCCCCACCCCCCAAGTTGTAAAGTTCGTTTTTCAACATAGTGTCTTGTATATCTCATTGTTACAATGGGTCAACCTGTATCCTTATTTCAGCATTCTGTTATTTCCCTTCCCCTCCCCAAATTAAAACAATGTAAGAGAAGAGAGTTTTAAAAATAACTTTTAACCCTTTTTAAGTAATATTTTAAATCTGGAAGAAATCAGTTTTTAAAATACAAAGTTAACTTTTAGATGATCACAAAAGTATTCTTTCTCCATATTGCGGCTGAGGAAAGTGAAGAAAGAAAGCAAAGAAGAATTTAGCTAGGAAGATGGAAAACTAGAGTGCTTGGTAAAATAGTAATGTAAAGAAGTCTGGGTATCCTGAGAATCCACTGGGAGATGGAGAAGAAGACAGGAGATAGCTCAGAAGTAAAATCCTAGAAGTTAAAAGATCACTCCTCCCACCCCCAACACCTTGTAATACATATGTATTACCAGTCACATACTCCTCCACTCTAAAGTCATCGCTCAGATAACCCTGCTGTGGAGTTGTCCATCTAGTCCTTGAAATCCAATTTAGAGGATTAACTACTCTTCATGAAATATATTTGCATATGATACATTTCTTACGATTATGTTAGCAGATTACATTGAGCTAAAACTATTTTTTTTCTTTCTTTTTTTTTGAGCTAAAACTATTTTATCTATAAACTTTTAGTTGATCAAGTTCTACCTAAGGGTTAGAGTCACCACTAGTTTATATTGTGCCTTTTTTCCAATCAGAAGTGTTCTCACCAAAACACTCCTATAGGGCTGTCTTCTTTGTATGTCTTATATAAAATTCACATTTTTCCCATATGGACTCAACTCCTATCATGGCACACAAGTTAAATGTACACAGCTATTAGCTCTCTCCATCTTCCTTTCTCATCTGGTCATCTATGGATAGAGAGCAGCCAAACTGCTGGATGGTCATAAAGGGAAGAAAAAGCAGACCCTCATCTATAAAACAATTACATGAAAACTGCTCTTATATTCTTCTACAAACTGGTCTTCTACAAACTGGTTTGACTATCTTCTGTTCAATATCAGTGTCTTATACACAGAGGTAGAAGAAACAATATGATATGTAATTTGAACTATCAAATACAGTGTTCCATACTCTTAACTGTTAGGACAAATCCTTTGATTGTCAGAATGTACTCTCAAATAATTGAAACTATGGCATTCTAAAATCTGTGTATCTTTCTTTTACCATCTTTTTTGTGATTACTCCTTTTTTTCCTAATCTTACACTGGTACTATTTGTTTTTCTTTTAGGATATTAAGATAATACCTAATGAATTATATATTTATGTTCTCAAGGTGAACATAAAATCCTACAAATCTGTGGCATTCTAGCAAGAGCTCTAGAATTCCAACAAACTATATAATATATAGTGATCAAGAACTTAGATTGGAGATCGTGAACTACCAAAGATTCTGGATAACACAGAAAAGGTGCTTAGGTCAAAGAATTTAAATAATAAAGTTGATGGAAAATAAACTTGAGGTTTATTTTCAACAGGCACTCTACCACAGAGCCATACTTCTAGTCTAAAGTTAGATTCATGAATACTTAAACTTTATAATTGAGGGAATCTACCACTTTCTAATCAGAAGCAAAACTTGATGGAATCTGTGTCACAGTAGGGTTAATTTAGTGTTACAAGGACATGGAGTTAGAACAAGACAGATGCTGAAAACTGGAAAAATATTATACTTTTTCATAAAGTACAAAGAGTTCCTGACCCTGGGAAGTGGGAATAAGAGAATGGATTATGGACATTTTAGAGGAGGGAATGTGTAAATTTGTTATGATTAAATGGTTAGAACCAGAGACCTATGCAAAGAAAGAAACATAGAGGATGCATACCATCATCAAGGGTGGGAGTAAAATGGAAGGTATGGGCAGGGAGAAGAGAAAAGAGATTTAATCATCCAGGATAGGTAGTTTAACTAAGTTCAACAAAGTAGGTAGGCATTTCAAGCATTCTGCACAGTGCTATACTCATAGTAAAAGATATGTTACATGGTAACAATTCTGTAAATTCTATAAAAGTACATAGTACTTTGAGAGAAGAATAGCAGGAGACTATAATCTAGATATAAAATTTCTTAGACTGAAAGTATTATGTGGGGGGGTCAGTGCATGACTTCATGTTCATAGAAAGTTGGGAAGATAACTAGGAATGTGTTCTTGGAATATAAAGATAGACTTCTTTGAGACCTGTATCGAACACTTGATCCTTTTAAAGGTTTTGTAAATTCAAAATAAATTGTTTCTTAGTTGAGAGTATATTTGCCAGGTTTGGCATATGCTGAGTTCTGAATCTACATATGTGCTGTGTTTTATATTTACTGAATGTCTGCTATATATTGGGTCCCAGTATGGGTACTTTACATGTAACCTATAGAAGAAAAAATAATCAATCTTCTACCACATTATTACATAGATGCCTCTGAAATATTTTTTTTAATTTTATTTGAGAACATACTGTACAGAGGGGTTACAATTACATGGGCAGGATAATGCATACATTTCTTACAAACCATTGCAGCCTCCTCCTTTGTTTACCCTTCACCTCCCTTCACAGTCTCCCCCCTCCCCCCTCCCCAATCCTTCCCCCCTCCCTCCCCACACCGACATTGTAAAGCTCGTTTTTGACATGACATTTTGTACTTCTCATTGTTGCAACAGGTCCACCTGTATCCTTAAACGACTTGTTTGTCCCCATCTCCTCCACAAGTTATACTGACATCAAATATAGTGAAAGCGGGGGTTACACTGTGGGGGAGGGACATACAAAGCAACAAAGAAATAATCTTATAAATGCGTTAGAAACACATGCATGAAAGAAAAAAAAACATTAAAATACATATTTAAGGGTTCGTTTTCCTAACATCACATTATCTGACCTTTTCCGCTTGACTCATACATATACTAGATATTGCAAATAAGGGAAACCATGGGACCTATGTTTCTTTGGGCCTGGCTTACTTCACTTAATATAATTTTTTCCAAGCCTTTCCATTTCCTAACAAATGGGGAAATGTCATTCTTTCTGATGGAGGCAT